TTCGTCTAAATCAAAATCGGAATCGTCGGAATCAGGGGGTTCAGCGCAATTTGAACTATTTGTGTCAAGAGCGTTAATTTGTACGCGAGAAAGGGCGTCGGCTACCTGGTTTTCTTTACCTTTTCTGTATTTTACAGTAAAATTGTAGTCTTCAAGTTTTAATCTCCAGCGTGCTAATCGAGAAGTGGGATCTTTAATTTTGTAAATCCAAACAAGTGGATTTTGATCAGTTTCTACTATGAATTTTTGCGAGTACAAATAAGGACGAAAGTGTTTGCACGAGTCAATTATTGCTAACAATTCTTTTTCGAATGTTGAATAATTTTGCTCCGCAGAATTTAGTGTTCGAGAATAATAGGCGATAGGGTGGTTGTCTTGTGATAAAACAGATCCAATAGCTATATTTGAGGCATCAGTAGTAAGGGTGAAAGTTTTCGAAAAATCCGGATATTGAAGAATTGGGGCATTACTTAATAGTTGCTTACATTTTTCGAAGCACTCGATGTATTGGGGATTATTGGAATCGATGACTGCTCCTTTTCGGGTGCATCTAGAAAAAGGGGAAGTAATTTTTGCGAAATGTGGAATAAAACGGCGGTAATATCCTATAAGTCCTAGGAATGACTTTATTTCTTTTATTGTTTTTGGTAGAGGAAATTTTTGAATAGCTTCTATTTTAGAAGGATTAGGTTTAATTCCTTGAGGAGTTACAATATGGCCGAGGAAAGCTACTTCTTTAGTGAGGAATTCAGATTTATTTAATTGAACTTTGAGATTTGTTTCTCGAAATAGTTCGAAGATTTTTGAAATATGAACAAGATGTTCGTGTAGAGATTTCGAAAAGATGATAACGTCGTCCATGTAGACAAAGCAAAATTTGTAAAGGAAGGGCCTGAGAATGTTATCCATTAATTTTTCAAAAGTCGCGGGAGCGTTTTTAAGGCCAAACGGCATTCTGACAAATTCGAAATGGCCGTGGGGTACAGTAAAAGCAGTTTTCTCGATGGAATTAGGATGAACTTCAATTTGATGGAATCCTTGGGCAAGATCAAGGGTCGTAAAGTAAGTAGCTTTACCTAAATTATCTAGAATTTCGTCAATTTTTGGTAGCGGATATTTATCTTCGATTGTGTTTTCATTTAATTTCCGATAATCAATTACCATACGGAATTTCTTTTCTCCTGAAGCATCTAATTTTTTGGGTACTATCCAAACCGGTGCCGAATAGGGAGATATTGAGGGTCTAATTATTTTGTTATCTAATAATTTGTTTATTTGTTTGGTTATTTCTTCTTGCATTGCCCTAGGGTGACGAAAACTTCTAACATAAATAGGGTTTTCGTCTTTAGTTCTAATTTCATGTTTAATGGCTGAAGTAAATGATAAGTCGGATTTTTCGTCATAAAAAATGTCTTTAAATTTTTTGCAAAGTTCTAAAATTTTAGTTTTTTCCTCTGTATTTAAATTTAAATGCTGAGTTCGAATTATCGAAGGATCGAAGTTCGCGAGACCGTTTGAAATTTCATAATCGTCAAGACGTTCAACTTTTATAGGGTCGAATTGCGCCGGACTAGGTAATACGATATTGTCTACGTAGCCATCGGTTACCGTGTGAATTGACTGTGGAATTGTAATATTATTAATTTTGATTTCCGGTAATATAATCTCACCTTCGGGTACATCGACTGGAATTTTATTGTACAAAGTAAAAAATGGAATTTCAATGTTAAATTTTCTTAACGTTAATTTTTTCGTATGATAATCAATCAATGCATTTAAACGATCTAAATCAAAATTTCCTAACAAAATATCGAAGTCTTTACTCCAATCGGCAATTCGAGCATCGATCGGTTCGTCGATACCGTATTCCCTAAATATTGGAGTCCTAATGTTAGAATGGTATTTTCGAGTTAATTTCATAGAAGTTAATAAAAATGGTTTTTCGTATTTATGTAAAGGATTAAAAAATGTAGAAGTTTTTGGGGTAACGATGCTATCTGATCCTCCAGAATCAATTAATACCTTTAGACCTGATTGCGGCATTATAAAATAGGGTAGCTGGGGATAATTTTTAATGTTATTCAAACTTACAAAGGGGGTGGTTTGTTCGTCGAACCTAGCTGAAAATCCCGACTTGTCGTTTCGTTGTCGATTTCACAATCGTTGGCGACAAATTCGGGTTCTTCGTAGGAATCGATGTTGAAATGATGAGTTCTTCTTGCGGAAACACTCATGGGTTCGTTTCTAGATGTAATGGTTTGTACACCACTCATAGGGGAAGAGTTGTTTCGAAAATTGGTAGGGCTCCTTTGGAATGGGGGGCGGTTAAATTGTTGAGGGTTGTTTCTAAAATTGTTGTTTGATTGAAATCTGTTTCCAGGAGCGTTATTATTTTGGAAATTATTTTGTTGAAAGCGACTTTGTTGAAATTGATTTTGTTGAGGGTTATTACGTGGAGAAAAATTATTATTTCCGAAATTATTTCGTTGAGCAGGGTTGTTCGGTTTTTTGGTTGGATCAAATTTCTTATTCTGTTGGCCCTTTAAAAAGTTCATGTACATTCGCTGATTTTTGTGGTTATCGTAAGCAACGCACTTCTGGAGGGCTTCGTCTAAAGAGTTTATTTCAAAATGCGATAAATATTCGGCGTAAGGTTCATTTATCCCAGTACAAAAAGTTTTTAGAGCAATATTTCGAAAATAAGGCGTTTTAAAGTTAATTGTAGCTTCGTTGTCGTTTAAAGTAATGTGTTGGAGTAAATCGTTTAAATTGTTTGTCACTCGTTGGTGATATTGGTCATACATTTCGTTAGATTTTTGAGCGGTTGTCGATAATTGTGTTAATAAAATGTCTTCTGAGCGACGGTCGCCGTACTTGGTTAATAAGGCCGGTCTAATGTCAGTCCAGATTGTTTTATTAGCATAGTTTAAAAAATCTCTAGGCTCTCCCTTGATACGAGAGACAATATTAGCGTTTAAAATAAATTGTTGTGCAGGAGTTAAATTTTGATCGGCTAAGAATACTATTAAATTGTCAACGGATCTGATAAACGTGGAAATATTATCGTCTTCTTTGGCAAACTCCGGTAAAGTAGCGCAAAGGCTTGCAATATCGCTATTAGTCATAGGCATTTCGGAACAATTAATGTTTCGAGACTCCTCAAAAAATGTTTCTTCACTACAAGTTCGAGAAGCGCGAGAACTATTTGTCTTGGAAACGTCTGATGATTCTAATGAAAGGTTTGTAAGATTTGTAAGTAACGTGTGAAGTAAACTTTCTTGACAAATCTCGTCCACAGTGCTCATAAAAGAAAGAGAGAAAAAGGATCGGTACTTACAGGAAGATCACTAGGAATGATGATTTCAGCATACCAAATTTTCTCTCCAATGGTTCGTCGAATTTTCGTTAAACAACTGAGGTTGACCAGGAAACGTCGATGTTTCTGTACGAAAATCCTGTTCGCAGCGCCAGAAATGTTATACGCACGTGAACGAATGTTTTAAAAAAAGGTTATTTTTTCACAAGAAACTCGGAAATACAATAAATGGAACTTCTAAGCAATTTTGAATTTACTATTACAAAGATTGCAAAACAAAAGAACAAGTGTATTGGGTTTACAGTTAATTTATAGAATAATAATGCTGAATAAGTGGAATAGTCGAGCGGCGATTACATTTCTATATCTTTTAAAATAAAGTGGTGGGGGTGGTTTGAATATTTTGACAAATAAATGTTAATAACTTTTAAACGGCTGAACCGATTTTCAAAAAAACGAAATTGTTGAAAAGAGCATTCTTTGTTCTATAATTTACACTATATAAGATATTATTTTAATTGCTTGTTTGGCCGCAAGATGGCGTTTTCGACATTACTTTAAAAAACACCTATTTTCTCAAAAAATTTAAATGCAACGATATAACTTTTTCTTTAGAGAAAATAGTCAAATAATTGCCAATTGTCTCGATTTTCACGATATTTTTCTAACAACCCCGTGGTATAGTTGTATTAAAAAAAGGTGCAACTAATAGAAAGAGACATTAACGTCATCTTATTTGTTTTAAACCGGCATAATTGGAGATTATCAAATGTCAAAAGTTGTCAAAAATGTTCGAGCACTGTAGTCAGTAGAAAGAGAGAATCAGTCGAAGTGTGGAGAGGCGCGGCTTCGGCGCGATGAATCGGCGGACGAATGTAGCCCTCGACCTTAGACACAGTGTATGTAAAAGACCGAGAAGTTCTGATAATGCTAATTGTACAATTGATTGCTTATTGTTAATCTGATTTTAAGTTAATGCTATCGTTTATTACATTTATTATGTTGTTGCTAATATAAGCGTAGTATTCATAATATAAGGGCAGATGTCTTATTATGGGAAGAAAACCGTTGAAGAACTATGAAAATTATCAAATTTACAACAAAAAGATACTTTTTCTTTACTATCCATCCCTTGAGAAGGATGAAAGGATCTCAAAAACCATAAAAAATTAAAAAATCATAATAAATGTGCTTTATCTCATACAATATTCAATCATTACATTTGCATTTAATTTTACAAGATTGAAGCATTACCTTTGCAGTAACCGAAATATAAAATGTTTAAACCCGCAAGGGTTAATTGACATATTAATTGAGAGATTGAAATACTAATTGAGAGATTAATTGTCATATTAATTGAAATTAATTTACAGAAAGATTAATTGTCTGGTTAACTGACAGATTAATTGAAAGATTAATTGACAGAATAATTGAGAGATTCATTGTAAACCGGTGGCGTTTTTGAAGCGTCTTGAGAGCGGCGTTGCCCGACCTTTATCGTTTTACTTGATACTGTTAAAATATGGGTATGTTAAATAGATAAATAAATTAAATAACTATACGTTTAAAATTAATTGAAAATGAATTTGATTACTCCAAAATTTCTATTAAAATGCACAAAATCTGAGCGGCTTTGAAGTGCTTTCAGAGCGATTTCAAATTAATAATCAATATAAATCATATATAAACTACAAAACATAACCAATTTATTAAAAATATTTAAAAATACAAGTCTTCTTTTCGCATGGCCTTCACCTTTTTAAACTGTACAGATACTTCCCCAACAAAACATTTACAAGTTTACAAAGTAACAAGCTAATTAAAACTATTAAATTCTCGAAATTTCCCTCCTGTCTCCTCCTACGTCCTCCTCTACCTTTACACTTGTTCCTTTTTAATACTGCTTTCAATGGAAATAACGGAGAAATGCAGTCGATCGATCATTTCTTAGATAAAGCGCCGTTCAAAGTCGCAGTAGCCGTAGAATCCGGGGAATTCTTGTGCACGGATAACATGATGGACTGCATGGAATAATTCTCCTGCGTATAGGAATCGTTCGAATCCGGGCATTTCCGAGTGGATTTCGATGCCGTCGAATATGATTGTACGCGGTTCTCCTTCGACCAGCAGCAGGAAAAGGTCTCCTGAAAAATAATTAAAAACAAGTACTATAAAAAAATTTTATTGTCAATTCCTACTTAGGTAAAAAGCATTAAAAATTATTTAAAAATAAAAAATTTTTATTAGTCTAAAGTGTTTTATACATTACGCCGTAAAGGCCTGAATTTTATGTCAAATAATAAATGTTGGAATGAAAAACGATGCCTTAGCAAGAGCTACCTCGATTGTTTTTGTTTATACATATACAAGGTGTTCCTAAACATCACGTACATCCGAAAGGGGGCGATTCCTTGCCTTATTTTATGACTAAAAGTTCATATAAACGTTGGTCCGCAAACGCTTTGTTACCGATCTACAGGGTGTTGAAATTTCAAGTTTTTTTGTTTCTTTTTAGAGCTCCCCAAATTAGGTATATGATATACAGTATAAGTATACAGTATAGCTTGAGTAGGAGGGGGTCACTTTCAACATTTATTATAATGTAATTTAATAGTTATTTTTTAGGGTTTTTGTTTTGTAATCATTTGTACAGAAAATAATTTTTCTCGATAACGGTCACAGAAACGAAAAAAGTTAAAAAATAAAAAATGTTTCTAAACAAAACAGACAATTAATTTTGAATTTTAGAATCTACCAGCGGCGCACAGTAAAAAAATTCGAGGGTAAAAAAGGGTACATGACCCCTGAAAAAATATCACCCTGTAGAATTTAACAACCACCTGATATATCCCATATTGTGTGCCCTATACAGTGCATTTCTTTAATGTCCCCCCCCCCCCTTTTATTTTTTGAACGGATCAACTTAGAAAATTGAAATTTGGGATAATGAAACTAATGCATGATTACTATATTTTGGAGTAAAATTGACAGATGAAAATTTCAAGATGGCGACTGGGCGCCATCTTGGGAAATAAATTTAAATGGAAAGGGGGGTCTTGTGATACATCATTTTGAAGCTACTGACAAATACTCTACAACCCTGGAATATAAAGTCAATATCTGCACCCATTTCAAAATGGCGGAACATTTAATAATTACCTGAATACAAACAAAATAATATCAATTTTTCTAGAAATATTTGTTTTTCTATGGCAAACAGCATTCCCAGCAAACCGATAAGGTTTGACAGGTTATTTTTGGTTAAAAAAATTCCAAAAAATTTAAGTACGACAACGAACATTAATTGTTTAGTCAAAATATGCTCATTTAGTTTTTGGTTTTCCTAGTGTTCAAAATATTCTCTTTAGTTTTCGATTTTCCTAGTGTTCAAAGTATTTTTCATTTAGTTTTCGGTTGTTTAGTTCTCATTGCAGTTAGGTAGCACGTGAACTAACTCTAAAATGGCCAATTCTCGTCCATTGGAAGATGGAGCACCACCCCACTACTCCAGATAAGTAATGAACTATTTGGATGCTATTTTCCCTGGTCGTTGGATTGGTCGTCGAGGTCCTACGGAATGGCCAGCCTGATGCTCGCCAGATTTGACACCTTTAGACTTTTTTTTATGGGGCTATTTGAAGCAAAATGTGTACAAAACTAAATCTGCTTCAATATTGGATATACGAGAAATAATTACAGATATTTGTAAAAATATCGACGTTACTATGTTCGAAAATGTTCGGTTAGGCTGTTCTTACATTAAGAAGTTCAAGGCAACCATTTCGAGCTTTTTTTGAACTAAACTCAGCTTATTTCCTCAAATTATGACGTTAAACGTCGATATGTTCAGGTAATTAATAAATGTTCCGCCATTTTGAAATGGGTGCAGATATTGACTTTATATTCCAGGGTTGTAGAGTATTTGTCAGGAGCTTCAAAATGATGTATCACAAGACCCCCCTTTCCATTTAAATTTATTTCACAAGATGGCGCCCAGTCGCCATCTTGAAATTTTCATCTGTCAATTTTACTCCAAAATATAGTAATCATATATTAGTTTCATTATCCCAAATTTCAATTTTCTAAGTTGATCCGTTCAAAAAATAACAGGGGGGGGGGGACATTAAAGAAATGCACTGTATAGCAATCTAAATTCAAAATTTGAGCTAGATATCTCATAAAGTTCAGGAGCTACAAAGAAAAAAAAAACAAAAAAAAAATCAAATATCAACACCCTGTAGATCGGTAACGAAGCGTTTGCGGATCTATGGTTATATGAACACCCCCTTTTGGTTTATGTGAATGAATAGGTTTAATAGATTCATTTCAGGAATTTTCATGAAAGAATTAAGTAAACTTGGTTTTGAAAAAATAATTAGAAAGAAATGGGCCAAATTCAAAAAACACCTTGTAACTCGGTTATAAAGGGCGCAAGACCCATAGTATATTGGTTTTTTGTAATTCCCTGGGTGACCTCTATATAGGGTTAAAATATTGCCCTTTCCCAATGAAACACCTGGTATATATTTGAAGTACAATAATTTATTGTCATTATTGTTTTTCTTTCCGTACAATAAAACAATAAATCTGTCAAATTTTTTATTCGTCAGATGCTAGGTTTTCCCAACAATAAATAAATCTATTAAAACGTTATTCCATGAATAACTTTTAAACTCCAGTTAACTACTTTGACGTTTCACTAACAAATATTTCTGATAAATCAACCCTTAGAATTCAAATCGTTCCAAAAAAAACGAAGATTTCGAATTGAATTGTTCAAGTTATTTTTTGGTTTTTGCCACTGTGACGTGTGAGTGTTGCTATTTTATAATATTTGGACTACTTATTTGGAGTTTGATTTTGAGAGTGATTTTGAAATAGATATAAAGAAGCAAAGAAGCAAAAATTACTTGCAAGAGGAGAAGACAAATTTAATAATAATCTTTCTAAAACAATTCGAAGTGGTCTATAATAAAAATCTGCATCAGGTGACTTTGAAAATGATGATGAAGATAATGCCAAAAATCTAACAGATAAATAATTTTGAAATATAACTTAAAACGTATACACTGTGTTATTTTTAAGATGCGACATAGGGATTCCTGTACAAATGTGTCAAAAGCAAGCTAACTTTTTTACCAAATAACGTTCGTAAAAAATAATAACAGATTTGAAAAGATCGTAAAAAAATATGTCGAAATGGACATTAAATTTTCTTAAATTCGTTCTGGTTTATTAAAAAAATGTATAATTAAGTTGAAAAAGTCATACGGCATAAATAATTCCTTTTTATAACACTATCTAATTTGTTGCAAAAGGGGCGGAGCTAACAGAGATGGTTAACGCTCTGCAATTTGAAAAAATAATCTGGAAATAATGTGGTTCAAACCCGGTTTGGGCCAAAGTTTATTTTTGTTTTTTTTTTGATTTTTTTAATGTTTTTGTCTAAAAAAATGTTAAATAAAAGTATTTAAAATAAGACAAGCTTAATTGGGATAAAAGTTTATTTTTATTTAATTAAATGTTCAGAAAATTTTTTATTTGGTTTCCTAAAAAATAAGTTTGCTGAATATCAACCAAAGACAGAAGAGGAATTGAAAAATATTACTAACGAATGTCAAAAAATTAGTAGAACTAATGGTAATTAATAATGTACGGCGGAACTTTTATCATCGTTTGGGACTGTTTAGCATAAAATGGAAAACAATTTGAACATTTAATTAAATAAAAATAAATTTATATCCTAAATAAGCTTGTCTTATTTTAAATACTTCTATTTAACATTTTTTTAGACAAAAACATAAAAAAAAAACAAAAAAAAATCTTTGGCCCAAGCGCGGTTTGAACCACATTACTTCAAGATTATTTTTTCAAATTGCAGAGCGTTAACCATCTCTCTTAGCTCCGCCCCTTTTACAACAAATTAGATTATGTTATAAAAAGGAATTATTTATGGCGTATGACTTTTTCAACTTAATTATACATTTTTTTAATAAACCAGAGCGAATTTAAGAAAATGTAATGTCCATTTCGACATATTTTTTTACGATCTTTTCAAATCTGTTATTATTTTTTATGAACGTTATTTGGTAAAAAAGTTAGCTTGCTTTTGACACATTTGTACAGGAATCCCTATGTCGCATCTTAAAAATAACACAGTGTATAATATTTGTATATATCCATTATTCTCAAATACAACCAATAAATTAAAATAAAAATTCAAAATCAGAAAAACACTTGCAAAGATTATTTGAGGTTAGAAAACATCAGAAAGACTTGAACTGTCCAAATTTCATTGGTTAATTTAAACGTCAATTTAATCGTCGAATAACGCTATTTGTTGTTGGTGGAACAAAATTGTGTATTTTGAATAAGGTCTGATTTGTCGTTGGTGACACCGGACATGAAAGCGGCAAAGAGTTTGCGGTGTTGCCATATTTATATTAAAAGTTGCATACATTACGCCTTAAAGGCTTTCCCTGACTGTTATGTCAATCATTAACTTTTTTATTCATCTAAAAACAGGAAAGAGTTCGCGATGTTGCCACAATTTTGTACCAAAAAGGTGTTTTGCTTACATTACCTTGAAAGCTTCCCTGAATTTGGCCGACATAATGTTGTACAGGATCGGATTCACCGTAGCCGATAAATAGTAGAAAATCCCGCTGATGTAGGTGAGAATCGCGTAGAATTTCATATGGGCCTCCTTGGTCTCCTCCGTAGGTTTCTGGTAGATGGAGGTGAGCCTTTGCAGGTGAAACGGGGCCCAGCATATGAAAAAAGCCACCACTACTGCCACTGGAACACAATACAGAGAATATATTCTAAAGGATGTCAATTTAGGCTCTGCAGAATAAAGACAGAAAACAAGTTTTATAAAAAATGATTTAAGTCAATTCTTATATCAATGTTGAGTTTAGAGGCATTTAAGGTGAATATCAAACGACCATTAACAGTTGCATCCGCTTTTAAGAAAATACAGGATGTTTTATTAAAATTAACCATATTTTTTTTCGTTAATATCCTCATGGTTTTTTGGTAAAAGTTAACCTATGCATTTTGAACCACCAACACACTGGCATATCAAGAACCGTCTTCAAAGAAAAAAGTAAATTATTTCAAACTTAATTTATCACCCTATATACAGGGTTTTTCACGGTAACCGTCCATTAGAAGTATCTCAATAATGAAAAGACTTAAAAATCTGAAATTTTGGTTATAGTATTTTTTGGATAATACGAATTGATCTAAAATATTTTCATTTTGATTACACTTCCGGTTATACCGGAAGTTGACACCAACTTCGTTATTTTATATGGAAAGTGCCATTTTTTACTTCATTTTTGAATTCTATGGCCTTTTTTAACTAGACTTTGATAATAACACCATAAGCCAAAAATGCACCATTTTTAAGATATTACAATTTTTTTGATATTTTTTGGAAAAACAGTAGAATGTATTTTCTGTGATATCTCTGTTAATAATGCAGGTAGAAGCTTGAAATTGAGTATCGATGATGTCCAGACATACTACTAAATGAAACTAAACTGTATTTTTAGAATCCATGTACAGGACGTTTAAAATTGTCTGACAAACTTGGCCAAATTAAAGTAACTTTGTTATTTCAATTGGATCACCCTGTATTTTTTAACAGTGACCAATGCAGTTTTTTAAGGCACTTCGATTCCATATCTCAAAAAGAATGCATTTTTTGAAAAAATGTTTTAGACAAAAGTACTCTTAAATTTAGCGTAGAATTTTTCAAAAATACATAAATGTCACATTGACATAAGGTCATTAAATGGCCAACTAGATAACTCAAAAAAAGAAAATTCATACCTTATTTAATAAAACTTCGATTATTTCAAAAACTTTTGGATTTGGGTACAGGGAATACCCATGTGGATCGAAAGGGCTTAAAAAACTGCATTGGTCACTGTTAAAAAATACAGGGTGATCCATTTGAAATAACAAAGTTATGACCACTTTAATTTGGCCAAGTTTGTCAGACAATTTTAAACGCCCTGTACATGGATTCTGAAAATACAGTTTAGTTTCATTTAGTAGTATGTCTGGACATTATCGATACTGAATTTCAAGGTTCTAGCTGCATTATTAACAGAGATATCACAGAAAATACATTCGACTGTTTTTCCAAAAAATATCGAAAAAATTGTAATATCTTAAAAATGGTGCATTTTTGGCATATGGTGTTATTATCAAAGTCTAGTTAAAAAAGGCCATAGAATTGGCCATAGAAGTTGGTGTCAACTTTCGGTATAACCGAAGTGTGATCAAAATGAAAATATTTTAGATCAATTCATATTATCCAAAAATACTTGTAATGGACGGTTACCGTGAAAAGCCCTGTATACGCTTTTTGTAAACTTTCATTCGGTATAGTCATAGTGGCCCGTATTCAGCGCCGCTGTTTAACTTTAGAGTGACTCTAAGTACGCGTGTTTAACTTGACAGTTTTACATTGTTGTTATGGAGTAACTAGGGACTCGAGACTCGTATCAGAGTTACGCTAAAGTTAAACAGGGGCGCTGAATACGGGCCAGTGTGTACAGTTCCTCACGACTCACCCTGTATACAGTGCAATTAGATGTGACATTTGTGACTTCCGGTTATAGCGGAAGTAGATATCAACTTCGTTATTTCAAATGGAAAGTACCATTTTTGACATTATTTTTGGATTCTGTAGCCCTTCTTAAATAGACTTTTATAACAGCGCCATATGCCAAAAATGCTCCATTTTTAAGTTATTTGAGTTATTTCATTTTTTCGATATTTCAAGGCACCTAGAAGGGGGATGGGACAATTCGCCGTCGCCGATTCACCGTCGCCGATTTACCGTCTCCGATTCGCCGTGGGGACAATTCACCGTCGGCCGATTGGCCGTCGCCGATTCGCCGTCACAGGTTGTAAATTTTATAGTTGTATACAATTAAGATTTAGTCATAAAAATAGGCAATAAATATTGATGTTTGTGGGTATTATATTTTCTATGAAAATTTTTGATTCGGATTAAACCAGGTACGTAGGTATGCAATTAAGGGTATTATTTAAGTATTGATGTTTGTGATATTTTCTATGAAAATCTTCTGATTCGGATTACTAAACCAGGTACGTAAGACGTAAGTATGCAATTAAGGGTATTATTTAAATATTGATGTTTGTGGGTATTATATTTTCTATGAAATTTTTTTGATTCGGATTAAACCAGGTACGTATGCAATCTAAGGGTATTATTAATAGTAATATAAATACTGACCCTAGCTCTAGAAAATTTAGTATCTAGATCGTTGCACCATTATAATTTTCTTTGTAATTACAATGGAGGTGACAATTTTAAGTGAAAGAGGAAAAGAAAAGTTTTCGGCAAACGGATATCTTTACGTATTCGATGCATCAAGCAAAAGTGATGAAAACGTAAAATTTTGGAGATGTGAACGAAGACTTTTGTGTAAAGCTAGAGTTCATACGAAAAATAATATAGTTATCAAAGAGGTGAATGAACACACACACGACTCTGCTGCGGTCACCACAGAAGTAGCTGAAATAGTAACAAAATTGAAGAAGCGTGCTGGAGAAAGCACAGAGACTACAGCTCAGGTATTTTTTTATGTTATGTTATGTTATGTTATTGCGGGCGGGTCTTTTAAGCCCCGTGACCACCTAGATCCTCTGTAGTTTCCCGCTGTTTTCCAAGGTCACTGATTCTGCCAAAGGTCACAAATATTTGCGAACCTTAGCAGTTCTGATGGTATTTTTTTAAATCACCTATTAAAAAATTTTACTTGCTATAAAAATCGTATGATATAGCTTAGTTCTTTTTTGTTTCAGGTTATCAATGAATGCATTAGAAATGCTTCACAAGCTTGTCAGGCTAAATTACCTAACAACTGTGCCTTAAGAAAGACAATTAGACGAAAACGGAATGAAATAAATGCAGCACCAGCAAATCCTACAACTCTCGACACCTTAGTCGTACCAGATTCTTTTCGATTATATCACACCCAACCTGATATAGTAGAAAATTTTCTACTATCAGATTGCTCATATGGACCCAGTCGAATTTTGATTTTTGGAAGACAAAGTTGGCTACAACATTTGCAAACCTCTAGAACTTGGTATGCCGACGGTACATTTTCAATAACACCACCATTATTTTCCCAAGTTTATACCGTGATGGCAGTCAAAAATAATGGTGTTCATCCCATATTTTACGCCTTACTACCGAATAAACAAGAAGCTACATATAAGAAAATGTTCGAAATAATCAAAGAGCTTGTTCCCGACGTACAGCCTTCACATATACATTGTGATTTCGAACAGGCTGCATTTAATGCAATGAAGGATGCCTTTCCAAATGTAACAATTAATGGATGCTTTTTTCATTTGGCCCAAAATATGAGAAAGCATTTAGGTACCATTGGACAATTGACGCAATATAAAAATAATCCTCAATTTGCATTGAACGCAAGAATGGTAACATCTATGGCGTTTATTCCAATACGAGATTTAGATGAAGCTATTATGGTACTCGGCGAGAATTTACAGGAAGAGCTTCAACCACTTTTGGACTGGTTTGAAGACAATTATATTGGTCGTCGAAACAGGTATAATATAATTAATTTTTATTTTATTTTCTGAAATAAATGATTCGTTTACAGGCGAGGAAATGGTAGGCGCTCCCCTCTGTTTCCCCATCAGATGTGGAATCTCTATGAAAGGACCTTGAATGGACAAGACAGGACCAACAACCATGCTGAGGCTGCTCATAGAAGGTTGCAATTAGAACTTGGTATGAAGCACCCTACAATTTGGAAGTTTATAGAGGGATTGAGAAAAGTTCAGAAGGGACGAGATGCTTATTATGAACAACATGTGGCTGGTCATCAACCGCCTTTAAAATTAAAAAAGTACAGACTTGCCGACGAGAGAATTGTACGACTTGTAGGAAATTATAATACCAATAATATTATAGAATATCTTAGAGGTTTAGCTCATAATTATGAGATGTAAATATGTTATTTCTAATAAAAATTTAAATAAAAAATTAAATTCATTGTTTAATTTTAAGATATCGTATAAAATTAACTATCAATTTGCATTTTAAAGCTTTTTTGCCTATTTTTAAAGTTTACAACCTGACGGCGAATCGGCGACGGCCAATCGGCCGACGGTGAATTGTCCCTACGGCCAATCGGCTACGGCGAATCGGCGACGGCGAATCGGCGACGGCGAATTGTCCTAGACCCACCTAGAAGTTTGAAATTTGGCATCGATAATGTCCAGTCACGGTACTTAAAGAAACTAAACTGAGTTTTAATGGTGTATATACAGGACGTATAAAGTTGTCCGACAAACTTGGCTAACTTAAAGTGGCAATTCAAATTTTACTTAAATTACAGATTACTTAAATTATTAAGTTTTGGAGTTATGGAAAAAGCATTAGTACGGCTACGGTGAAAAACCCTGTATAACTAGTTTAGGACCTTATCTAGTCTAAGTTCGGTCCTGAAAATTGTTAAATTCTAATCTAGATAGCCGGTTTTATCGGAGCATTTGAAATTCTAATAGCTCTCCTTTATAATTCGAATTCAAATTACGCCGTAGGTCAAATTGAAATTGTTGATTAAAATTTGCAATTTTCGAAAAAAAAACAACAAACGATTTTCTATTTTTCATTTACAAATTTAAATATCTTGTTAATGTATATGTATTTTTGTAAACTTCATACAGTTTAAACTTTAAATACAGTTTAAACTAATGCAGTTTTTTTAAATATGAATCCAGTAATTAAATTTAATTACATTATTTTAGTATGTTAGAAAAAAAAATCCCTCATATAAGATATTTAGCAAAATCAATTTTAAATTGCAATATTACAATTTTAAAGTTAAAGAATTCGGTTCGAATCTCGTCGATCCAAAAAAACCTTTTTTATTTCATTTTCAAAAATTAAAATAAAAACCGAATAAATAATGAACACAAATTACAAAAATAGTATTTTTCTTTGTTGACCTAAGTAGGAATTGACTTTAAAATTTTGTTTAGTATTTTTTCTTTCCTTCAAACACAATCGGAAATTATTTTTAATCGAATCGAAATTAGCATAAAGGAAAATTATGCTTTGCAAATTAAGTGAATTTATATGCGAAAATGACTTTGAACTATTGCTAATTAATTTGCGAATAAAAGACTTGTAATTATAACGAATCATCGGTTCTGATGAAAGTCCATTTGATGTTTGAAAATTGTCATTTATTTAATTAATTTATGTGTGAAAGATGTCGCTTTGAAATATTAAATATTTAGTTTTTTATGCTTTGGGATATCAAAAATTAATTTATAATGTATTTATAAACGTATATTTATACGTAGTATACTTTAGATATACGTAGTATACTTTAGACTCAGTAAGTCAGTAACTCAGTAAATCTACAGTAGACTCTGTATTACTCTATTCAGGAGTTGCGAGCGTGGACTACGGAAGTGTGTGCAACAATTACTCGAGAAACTTTGCAAAGCGTAAGTGCTGAAGCTCAAAATTGACTTTATTTTTGCCAGGAGATCAACGGGTAATATTTTGAACATTTATTGTAATAAAAAATAAGGCTAATTTTAGTTTAGTTACCTTCCTGTTTGTGGTATTTTGTTATTTTTATACATTAATAACACAACACGTAATAAAGCAATTTTAATTTTTTTGCTTAGTTGAATGGAGAATAAAATCCCCTTTTAAATGAGGTATGACTTAACTCCCTTTGCTATTTAAATTTTTCGAAAGGGTTGCTCCCCTCCAATAAGGAATGAAATTGGGAATAAACCATTCGTACCAAAAAGTACATTATCAAAAGTCGACGTGTCTCGGCGATTTTCGTAACAAGAGCCCAGTAATAAGTTAGATAGGGGGGAGGTAACACTTATGATGCTCACTGTATATGTAAACATACAGTCCCGCTGAAATTAAATTAATCAAATTAATTATTCCAATACAAGGAAATGAACGAATATCGCAAAAGATACGGGTAGATAATTACAAATTGACAATGAATAATTTGCATTAATTAATTTAGCACCGTAAAAAACAAGTTTAATGAAAAATTGTATGTAGAAAAAAACACTACTTTTTTTAATGACATACTAATATCGTACAAAGAAAACATTACAAGCCAATTTATTTGCTATTATACGGAAATATCAGTCGAATTTCTGGTGAAAATAGCTAGAAAATATTATGTTTAGGTGTAATTAGAGAAAATGTAATATATATGTAAAATGGCTGAATAACCGATTCTAATCATAATTAATTCGAGTGGTTAAAATTTGGACTTTAAATTGATTTAGAGGCTACGAAAATGTCAAAAAACACAAAATTAGAGAAAATTTACAAGAAAATTCAAAAATTGAGTAGTTTATAGTAGTTTATAGAATATAGTAGATTCAGAGTAGTTTGAGAGTAGATACAATGTATATTCAGAGTAGATTCAAAGTAGATTCAGCGCCCAGGCCATTCCACGTCACCCCAGAATTCGCCTTCAAGAGAGCATCGCGGCTGACGGACGCCACATTCTTGATATCAAACTCAATGTAAAAAATAGATTCGGTACTGATTTAAACAATATGAACATAATTTCTGTAAGTTGAATTGTTTTTTGCCCCACCCTGTATAAAACAGCCTAGAACCAAGAGAGTTAACCGAATACCAGTAACCTAGGATATTAGAGTACTACCTAGAATCTAGTATACCTACTCTATTACCCACCTTCTACATACGCACAATCCTGACCCACCTACAACCTGGAGACTAAACCTGTCATTAATCAACCCTTCTATGCCCAAGTTCAATTACACAAGAGTACAACACAAACAGACCATTCAATACCAGTACCCGCACCTTGACGCACCTAGAACCTACAGTCAACCGAATACTATAACCTTCCAAAACGACATTAATCGAACCACCCTCAACCTCTAGCATAAACCAACCCTTATGGCACTCTTCCTGGGTACACCCTTTTAGGCCCTAGTGCCCTATTCTAAAGAGTACAACACACAGTCCATTTAATGCTAGTAGTACATACCGAGCATCCTAACCACCTTCCAAGACGACCTCCTCCGCATCCTGGCGCTCGAACTCATCCCCCTCCAGCCCTTCGACGACTTCAACCTGAACCCGATCAATACGTACAACACCGTAATTACCGCCATGGGCACTACGAACAACACCACCGACGACATCTCGAACATTGGCTCCACGTACGAATCGTTCGACACCACGCACAGCCGGCACGTGCCCGCCACCAGTTCGACCCGCAGCGGCCACGCCTGCGGCACAGCCAACGCCGCCGACGCCACCCACACGCCGGCGATCAGCCGCACCGCCCGCGGCGGATCGCTGAGCGCGTGCGCCAAGAACGGCCAGCACACGGCCAGGTAGCGCTCGGCGGTGAAGGCGCCGATGACGAGCACGCTGGAGTTGCCACTGGCCTCCGAGAGTAGGCCGCGCGCGAAGCAGAAGGCGCCGCCGAAGACGTAGGGCCGCCGCCGCCAGAAGGTGTAGAGCTCTGCGGGCAGGCCGGCGATTAGCAGCAGCTGATCGGAGACGGCGAGGCTGAATAGGTAGTAGTTGGTGGCGGTGCGCATGGATTTGTTGGCGGCGATGACGAGGCAGGTGGCGGTGTTGCCGATGCTGCCGGCGATGAAGATGAGCAGGTAGACGGCGGTGAGGGGGGCGACAATGTAGAGGGGGTCACGCTCAGGGCCGAAGAGGGCTTCGCTGCATTCTTCCGGCGCTTCTTCCATTGTGTTAGGGTTTTCTTTTTTCGAGTACTTTCTTCGGTGGAACACTGATGAAGGTATCTACTTTTGACTCATTTGTTTATGGAACTCAGAGTTGTCTTTTAAGGGCAATTCTAAATCACTGTTATAGAACATTGAGTTTTTTTGTAGGGTACTACTAGTACAAATTACTTTTGTAATGCACTGATGCAGAGTACTGACTTCCAATTCACTATTGTGGAACACTGTTTTTTAGGGAAGGTAAATCTAGTTCACATCTGTTGGACCCTATGTTTGTTATATAGGGTAGTTCTAACTGACTTCTGTGGAACACTGATTTTTTTATCAAGGGAGGTAGTTCTAATTCACATTGTGGAACACTGAATTTTTTATGTAGGGTACATCTAATTCACTATACGACCGTTAACCGTTGAGCGTAAACGCGAAATGTCGCGAGGCAGAGTTAAAATCATAACTCTCCCGCTCAAGCGATGCGAAGGCGACGTTGTCAGTTCTTAATCTCGGAAAACTAACGAAATTTACTTAATATCAGATGTTAGGCATCGTAGTAATTGATTCAATTATAAAATTTGCGATTAACTCCTTTTATTAATCGTCCTTTTATTAAATTAGACGTATTCGCATTAAAATTGATAGTGACTACAGTACCTAAAAATAATATTTTCGATACGCTAGTTTAAATAATACAATTATTATGGATTTAAATAGTTAATTAGGCCCCTATGCAAAAACATTTCAATTTGATATTTTCACATTAGAATTTGGTAGTGACTACTGCACCGATTACAGGATTATTATTAACTATGTCGAAATTTTCCCGGAATAATAAATGTCGAAATACTCGATTATTTAATAGAATTATTATAAATTAAATAATTAGGCCACTATGCAAAAACGGTAAATTTATATTTGACATTTTAACATTTGGACAATTGGAAGTTCTCAAAGTACCGGTTACGGAATTGTTTTGAATTGTGTCGAAATTTTCCCAGAATAATAAATTTTGAAATACTCGTTTAATTAATAGAATTATTATAAATTTAAATAATAAATTAGACCCCTATGCAAACACTCATTTAAATTTGACATTTTCATATTAAAATTGGTAGTGATTACTGCACCGGTTACGGGATTGTTTTTAATTATGTCAAAATTTTCTCGGAATAACAATTATCGAAATGCTCGTTTAATTAATACAATTATTATAAATTTAAATAGTAAATTAGACCATTATGCAAAGACGACACATTTAAATTTAACATTGACATTAGGGATAAGAAATTTACGTACAACATAGTGATAGAAAAAATACCAAATATTTATAATCTAGTAACGGGAAAATAAGTTTGCACAATTTTTATACATATAATAATAATAGGAAAAAAAACACGTTCGTAATAAATAATAATTATAGTGGTAGACATATTAATTTACTCGTTATAAATCATAATTTAATTTATCAATAACGAAATTCATTATATTAATCTTGCCTAATTTTTTTCGACCTACAGAAACAGGAAGAACTGGTCGAGATGTAATTTGAATTGATAATTAATTTCGATTGAAACTAAATTCGCGAATTCAATTAAATTTTTGGTAATTGTGAAATTTTTTTTGTGAAATAATTTTATATATATATTTTTTTTATTGGTTGAACTTTGTTTTTGGACAAAAAATAATTGTTTGCTGCGAGTTTTTTTGTAAAAATGTTGACATTCAGACGGATCGTAAACAAGATTTTTTTTCGATTATTCGATATTAAAAATTAATTAATAATTTTAGAAAGCCATTTTGTATTTGTATTTTTTTGAATAAAATTTAATTCGAAACGATTTCAATGAGTTATATTTATTCCGCAGAATTAATTTGTATCGAATTATAAATTGCTCGGGTATTTATTATCCCGACCTAAATTTAGAGGAATTTATTTATTTTGGAATTATTAATTCGAACGCCATTTTTTCCTCACCTTGGGCGAAATCCAAATTTAATAATTTGCGATTATTTTTGATATAATTTTACCGTTTTATCAACAAACATTCATTAAACTATTACAAAATGTCGGGAAAAATGTAAATCGACTTCCTGCTCTTACGCTAAACTCGTTATTTTCAATGACTGTAGTTACGGGCTAAATATATACGCAAATAATAAAGAAAAATAGTATGAAATATCTATAAATGTTCTGTAATTTTATAAAATTATTAAATGCAGGGCTTTTCACGGTAACCGTCCATTAGAAGTATCTCAATAATGAAAAGACCTAAAAATCTGAAATTTTGGTTATAGTATTTTTTGGATAATTTGATAAATTGAATTGATCTAAAATATTTTCATTTTGATTACACTTCCGGTTATACCGGAAGTTGACACCAACTTCGTTATTTTATATGTAAAGTGCCATTTTTAACTTCGTTTTTGAATTCTATGGCCTTTTTTAACTAGACTTTGATTATAACACCATATGCCAAAAAAGCACCATTTTTAAGATATTACAATATTTTTGATATTTTTTGGAAAAACAGTCGAATGTATTTTCTACGATATCTCTGTTAATAATGCAGCTAGAAGCTTGAAATTGAGTATCGATGATGTCCAGACATACTACTAAATGAAACTAAACTGTATTTTTAGAATCCATGTACAGGACGTTTAAAATTGTCCGACAAAATTGGCCAAATTAAAGTGGTCATAACTTTGTTATTTCAAATGGATTACCCTGTATATATTAACAGTGACCAATGCAGTTTTTTAAGCCCTTTCGAAACATATGGGTGTTCCCTATACCCAAATCCAGTAGTTTTTGAAATAATCGAAGTTTTATTAAATAAGGTATGAATTTTCTTATGATTTATAATTTATTGTTTACTTATTGTTATGTATTTACTGTTCACATATTTTTTTTTAAATTTTAAATAAATAAATATTCATTTCAGAGTCTTCTAACAGATATTTAAATTTATTTGTCAATTATTAAATCGCAGAAATTAGTCTATTTTTTTTGTATAAATAACTCGAGAATGGCGAAACATAGAAATAGGACTTATTGTATAAAGTTACCTTAAAAAAGTTTGTAGATTTTAAAAATATGAAAATATACAGGGTGCTCCATTTGAAGAAATAAAGAAATTTGATATTTTTGCATCTTAACTGTTCGTACTTTTTATACACACCCTGTATGCAATAGAGAGTATTTTTTAAACCGATTCAATTACCTTTTACCTTAATGGTAGTCACCTCACAAAAACCATTTCATTAACTTTAAGGGTTTACTCGTAAAAAGATAATTTATAAGGGTCTACAACTGTCAATTTTTTCATAAAAAATATCTCAAAAAGTATACATTTTTTGAAAAAATGTTTTAGACAAAAGTACTTTTAAATTTAAAGTAGAATTTTTCAAAAATACGTAAATGTCGGATTAACATAAGGCCATCAAATGGCCAACTAGATAACTAAAAAAAGAAAATTCATACATTATTTAATAAAACTTCGATTATTTCAAAAACTACTGGATTTGGGTATAGGGAACACCCATATATGGATCGAAAGGGCTTAAAAAACTGCATTGGTCACTGTTAATATATACAGGGTGATCCATTTGAAATAAAAAAAGTTATGACCACTTTAATTTGGCCAAGTTTGTCGGACAATTTTAAACGTCCTGTACATGGATTCTAAAAATACCGTTTAGTTTCATTTAGTAGTATGTCTGGACATCATCGATACTCAATTTCAAGCTTCTAGCTGCATTATTAACAGAGATATCACAGAAAATACACTCGACTGTTTCTCCAAAAAATATCAAAAAAATTGTAATATCTTAAAAATAGTGCATTTTTAGTGTGCATTAGTGTTATCATTAAAGTCTAGTTAAAAAAGGCCATAGAATTCAAAAATGAAGTAAAAAAAGGCACTTTACATATAAAATAAAGAAGTTGTGAAAATCGGTCTTTTTTAGATATTTTTTAAGTAAAATTTGTATTTTTATAGCAGATTTCGATTATTAAGGACATTTATAACATTATTAGCGTCTTGTAGATAGTTGATAGTGTCAGGTTAGCGACAAAATAAATTATAGAAACCATAACCCCTTTAAAAAAATACTTTTTATTTTTAGAAACAAAGCTAAACAAATTAAAAATTAAATATTTCAAATACATTTAGTAATGCTTCTGCTGCTTCTTGGTTCTCAAAATCTATATTAATTAATAAATTTCCTCCTGTTGATCCACAATATTTATATCCATTGGTTCACAGGTTAGACCCACTTTTGTTGGGCACTTTTCTCGTCGTTTTTTTTTCTAAATATGGTCCTGGGGATGTATCACTTAACAATTGGTAGATTCTGGGACGGAACAGCAAATAATTTTAATGTTCTACGTTTCACTTTAACTAAAAAGAAAAGAATGGAATAAAATGGATTTGAATCATAATACACTTACCTTTCTGTAAAAAATCACTTTCGAGAAAATGTAATGAGCACACTTTCATCGTATTTAATACACGTTTTCCGATTTTTAATGTTCATATCCACAACAATCTTCTATCAATTAGTTCCAAGTAAATCCAGGCTTAGTTTCCACAAAAACCTTCGATTTTCCTGCTTTCGGGAAAAGATGAAAACTTAAATTAGGATTTCGCTTCATCCAGGATGAACACTGGGGAACGCAGCAATATTGGTTTATTTTAAAAATCTCCAACAAACACAAAAACTTAAAAAACACAACTGAACTAGTATGTTTTGTCATAAACAACAACAAAGACAATAGCCGCACAATGGCTCTTAGTTCGGTTCTTACACTATCCGCCAGAGGGCGGAGCACGGCATCGCTTACGTTTATGTATGTTCTGTGATCGCTTAGCACGAATCGTCAATTATTAGTATTATGTACATTCTCTTAAATTTTTAATTTGTTTCGTAAACGATAAGAGAAGCAGTAAATAAGTTTCGATAATGTGAATCAGTATTCGTAAAAAAGTTGGGTAAGTGTCCATTTCTTCCTCAGCATGCAAAAGCTCAGCTTTTCTATTATTATTATTACAAATTCTAAATCATTCCAGACAGTTCCAAATGGTTCTCGACAAATTTGATTGGTCCTGAAGCAATCTAAATGGTTCTGAACAGTACTACTACTACTACTAGTTCGCAGGCGTGGACAGTTCTAATCATTCTAGACAGTTCTAAACCATTCAAAACAGTTCTAAATCATTCTAAACAGTTATTGAAAATCATTCTTGACAGTTCTAAATTACTCTAAACTGTTCTAAATTATTCAAGATAGTTCTAAATGGTTATCGACAGTTCAGATTAGTTCTGAAAACATCTAAATGAATCAAGAAAGTTCTAAATCATTCTAGACAGTTTCTAACGGTTCTCAAAAAATTGATAGGTATGAAATGGTTTTGAACAAATTGATAGGCCCTGAAGCGATCTAAATGGTTCAGGACAGTTCTAAATCATCCTAGACAGTTTCAAATGGTTCTCTACAAATTCATTCTAGACAGTTCCAAATGGTTTTAAACAAATTGATAGGCCCTGAAGCGATCTAAATGGTTCAGGACAGTTCTAAATCATCCTAGACAGTTTCAAATGGTTCTCTACAAATTTGATAGGTCTGAACAGTTCTAAATCACTCTAGACAGTTCCAAATGATTCTCAACAAATTTTATAGGTCCTGAAGTTATCTAAATGATTCTGGACAGTTGTAAAACATTCTACACTGTTCCAAATAGTTCTTAACAAATTTAAAAGGTCCTGAAGTGATCTAAATGGCTCTGGAGAGTACCAAAAGGTTCTCAACAAATTTGATAGGTCCTGAAGCGATCTAACAGGGTTGGGCAAAAGTCCGGAATAAAATTATTATCTTTTGAACCAGTAATTTAAACAAAAAACGCCGAAACACGTAAATTGATTTTATATTGGACGGATTTGTTGCCAATAAAATGATTTTTTTTTCTTCAACCCCTTAGTTGCAACCCTACCCAACTTTATTTTTTCAAATGCAAAGGTATGTCGTGTGTAGGGTCATTGAAAAGCCCGTGAAAAATGGAATCTGAAACATACCTTTTTTTTTATTTTTCTCATGTTGTTATTTGGAAATGAGCAAAAAATTCTTTTAAAAACAAATATGTTACAAATACTTTTTTAGTGGTATCGACGTGTGAATTAAGGCTTACTCTACTTAACAGGCTCCAAGGCAATGGTAAAACCTAATATCGGTAGCCTATCTTTAATTCTGAATGAACTTTTATTAAAAGCAGGCGAGCCTGGTCAGGCAGCACACCAAATTTTATTGATTTACCGTTTAAAACTGATAAGGCAATTTAGCATCAACATTCGTTGAAATTTATGTTTTAAGAAAAAACAAAAACATAAAATGGGTTTAAATCTAAGCCATTGTTGATCAGTGAACTTCAAAAAGGAAAACAGGTGTTGCATTTTTGAACAAGTTTTTTTTACCAAAGGTTCGCCTGTTTTTATTAAAAAGTCATTCAGAATTAAAGATATGCTATCGATATTACGTTTTACCAATGCCTGGGAGCCTGTCAAATAGATGGTGAAGGGCATTTTCAACATTGCTACGTCGATAGCACTAAAAAGGTATTTGTAACTTTTTTGTTTTTAAAAGAAATTTTTGCTCATTTCCAAATAACAACATGAGAAAAATAAAAAAAAAGGTATGTTTTAGATTCCATTTTTCACGGGCTTTTCAATGACCCTACACACGACATACCTTTGCATTTGAAAAAATAAAGTTGGGTAGGGTTTCAACTAAGGGGTTGAAGAAAAAAAAATCATTTTATTGGCAACAAATCCGTACAATATAAAATCAATTTACGTGTTTCGGCATTTTTTGTTTAAATTACTGGTTCAAAAGATAATAATTTTATTCCGGACTTTTGCCCAACTCTGTATATGATTCTGGACAGTTCTAAATTTTGGACAGTTCTAAACCACTTAGATAGTTCTAAATCATTCTAGACTATTCTAAATCATTCTAGACTATTCTAAATCATTCTAGACGGCTTGGAATCATTCTAAACAGTTCCAAATCATTTATGACAATTTTTAATTATTCTAAATAGTTCTAAATGATTCTTGACAGTTCTAAATAATTCTAGACATGTAACTTTTGTCAAATTAAACTATAATTTAAAATTAGTTTAAGTATACAGGATGTCCCAGAAAAAAGTTACATATCAAAGTTATGTTTTTTTAAATGGAACACCCCGTATATTTTTACATTTTTGGATTCTTCGTTCAAAATAAAGGTTATTTTACACTGAACGAAAAAGTAGCCATTATACAATTAAAAAGTGGATTGAATCAATGATTCTGATTATCAAAACTCAGCCGATACGCAACGAGATTGAAGCAATCAGTTGCCTGTAATTGACTAATCACAAAGCATTGACACAATCACATAAATTTATTAATTTCTTTTATATATTGACATCAATTTTAATCTCTACAAACCGGTAAGTGATTAGTAATAGAGATAAATCTAATCAAATTGTTTATCAATTTAATCAGTATAAAATGATAAAATTGATCTCTGTAGGCCACTAAATGATCATCATTGATATCAGTCCAATCATAGTATTTTATAATTTAATGAGCATAAAGTAATGGAATTGATCATCGTTGGTATCAATCCAATCACTATGTTTATTAATTTAATTAGAATAAAATAATAAAACAAATCTCCGCGGACCACTATATAATCATCGATGGTATCAATGTAATCATTTTGTTCATTAAATTAATCATAATAAAAAAATGCTAAAATTAATATTTGCTAACCACCACCCAATCATTATTGTAACTAAATTGAGGGTTATATACGCAGGCGCCGTACTGATAGAAACTTGTCTGTACTTGTCTGTTTTTGTCTATACTTGTCTGTATGTACTATAATGGTAGTTCTTTGATATGTGTTAATATTGTAATTGTGCAATGCTGATATCAAAATATGATAAATAAATATGTTAATTATGGCGTATGTGGTGACATCTATCAGTTATCAGTTCATCAGTTACCTATCTCATATTAACTAAGCACTCCCTATTTTTTGAGATGCGAGCTGCCCCTGTAACATTTTCATTAATATTTGTGATTGAATCAGTAGCTTATTATATTAATAAAATCCAGTATCTGCTAGTATTAAACAATCAAAATCAACAATTCAATCCACATTTTCTATTTAAGGACGATTGTTATTTAATATTCATCGTGGAATATGATAGACTTACCTTATTCACAATATTAGCTCTCTGTTCTACTTCGTAATAAATAGATATCCATTAGCTTGTTAGAACAAATTTTAGGAGATATCTGTTTTATTAGACAAGCTTTATTAGGACAGGTTTAAAGACAGGAAAATGATTAATGCAAAATACAAAAAAACGTACTTTTATTTCCCAGATGTTAAATATTCACACAGCACGTGTACTTTCGCATAGTGATGATTTGTCTTCAATGCGAAAAAATGTTGTTCTATAAATGTCCATGGCATGATGGACTCTACAGGGAACTGTAGATTAAACAGATACATTATTTTGAAACAGCAATCAACTGCTCTTAAAATATGAAAAAATTGGTAACGAATATTATCAAAATATAACCCAACGGTTTCAATGTTGAAGATATCTTCGCCTGTGCAATAAACAAACGGTTGAACACTTTTTTTCTTTTCCTTTAAGAAGCTGATGTGGTCCTCTACTTCTTGAATACTACGTCCCAAAAACAAAAAGGATTCCTGGGAATCCTTAATGGTAAATTTCGTTGTTGCGTTTTTTCCGGTGACATCCTTTTTGACGATTTTATTCGTAGGCACCATATACCCATGTAGACTCCACAACAAGGCTGCATCAAACCCATCTAAAATATATTAAAATTCTTATTTGTAAACTAAGGTTCCGGTAAAATTTATCTGTACGTTCCGTTAGTCATTAATGCAAATCAATTTCCTATTTAAATAGCTAATGATGCACTAGTAATACATTAAAGTAGGTAAGTACATAATTATGATATTCAAGGACATTGCAATGACTATAAGTTTGACTGTGGCCCTAACTCATTGTCCGTGTTTAACGTTAGAGGTACAGGACAGTTGTACATTGTTGTTATGGAGTAACTATGAACATTGTTTACGGGTTTAGAGTGACTCTAACATTAAACATAGGTGCTAAATACGAGACCATATTGATAGTAGATAAACATACATATACTTACTTTCATTATCATTTTGAGTCGTTAGTTTATCTAACATTGATTTAATATTTTTGTCTTTGACATGCTGTCCATCCTTAAGAAAAGATAAGATTGCAGGAGATTCAGACTTCCAATTGACAAGTAGGTGTCCCCTAGTTTTAAATGCCGATTCAAAATCTATTTCAATCTGGAATAATAAATTATCAATAAGTACGTAGTTTAAAATTGTATTATTAAGTTATACCAAACGAAATCCAGAAGGTTGTCGGTAGAAAGGCCATGCGTCCAGTACAGCAGTTGTTGTTTCCAGGGTTTTAATTTGCTGCAACCTGAAATTGCTGCAGGCTTTCCACACACTGTCAAATTCGTCAGAAGATAAATGACTATATTTTAAAGTGCTTATGCAGGTTTCAGCATCCTGCTCTGGTTCTAAAATTAACACATTATATGTATAAGAAAAACGGATACTAAGAAATTTCATTTATTACCACCAATTTCTTCCTGATAGCGTTGTACTTTATGTCCTTTAATTGGTTTTGGTTTTATTTCAGTCATCGTACATTTAAAATGTGAGTTTAAATTACGCCATTTGTTATATATTTTACCACGTTTGGTTGTTCTGTAATAATCCTAAAAAAGAAATAGTTGTTAAATAATAAGGGCATGACAGTAGGTAAAAAAGGTACCAAAATTAGCAAAAATATGTAAATAGTAAACTTACAAGTTTCTCAGTCGGGAATTTTTCGATAATGTCCTTCTCTATCGCAAAGCTGGCTGCTAAAGACATGGTAATGCCCTTATCTTCAAAATAATGAGCTACCACATTTATTAAAGAGTTTCTTTGTTCTTCTTTAAATATTTGGAACTTATTATAGTATTCTACTAATACTTTAGCCTTTGCCGATTCATTAAGAATATCGGACAATAGTACACGTATTGGTTCAGAATCTGGTGTTGAACATCTTGATGGGTAAGGCGAAACTCGAGATGACTCTGACAACTGACGCGATGTGGACCTTTCAGGGCCAGCTAACAGGATTCCATCCAAAGGAGAGGCTGTGTCGTATTGACGCCAAAGTTCCAAATTATATTCGAAAGTAATTTGTGTCGCCATATCAAACTGTTTTAACAGTCTTTCGATATGATGAGGTTTAATCATCTTTAAAACCTTCAAAGTGATATTTTGAGCTAAAAACGAACATTTTGATATACAAGAAACAAGATATACAAGAAATTATTACGATAGAACATACCTATTAAGTGATCGAATATGTGTGTTTGATTCCAAGATTCAAGTAAACTCTTAAGTTGTAGATGATCGTCGTTTACATCAGGGCTAGGAGCAACTTGAATCGGTTGCGATTGAGGCCTTGTTGCATGAGAGATGTCTTGAATCACCATAAAATTCGAGAGACTTCTATCATCAATTTTAGTTGACTGAGAACTTGTCGAAAGCACTGGGAACTCTGGTATTGTAATACCAGATGGAACACAGCCTGGAGGGTTCCACACACAGTCTTCGTATTCACTCATTTTACTTATTGGGCCCAAAAAGTGTACATCCAACTACTAATGGCGTTTACGAACGTAAATAGGTATATCTGATAAATATATATAAATATATATATATATATATATATATATATATATAATATCCGATATTGAAAAGAAATTGAAATGCCTCATGCTGCATAAATTAAACAAGGCAACTTTATGCCTCAAACGAAACGGCACGACACTTCGTCTCATCTCGCATGCTGGGATATATTTTGTCCACACTTCATAATTGCACAAGTCATAATTTTGATAATATACATAGATAGGAACAAGAACACAGAAGATTTTTGATGAAATACGATAAAGCGTTTGTCATCATATAACGCTATATGCATGTAAAATACAAATAAAAATATGCACATTATAACACACTAGAAAGAATTTACTTCATACTTCAAACTGTATGCAATAGATAATAGTATGTTAATAGAGGGTGTTTGTTAAAGATCTGACAAAAATTCAAGAGGTTGTTCCTTGAGATATTCCAAGAATATTTTAACCATATTTTTTGGTAATAAAATGTTGTTACCAAAATTTGTTCGCTCTGTCTCTCAAAAAAAAAACGGATTTTCAAAAATCATCAAAGGACAAAATATTCATAAAATAACCCAAGGAACAACTCCTTGAATTTTTGCTGCATTTTTAACAACCTCCCTGTATATTTTATACAAAGTCATAGTACTCTTTTATTCTTAACATATTTTTGCCGTTAGGAAGTTTAACTAGAGATACCGGTGGGCCTAACAATTCATCTATAGATAAGAGAGAAAATGATGACATCTTTGAAATATTTACTGCATATGCCATATAATGTTCTTCATATTCTACTTCACTTAACTTTTGAGAAAACAATAATATATTGTCATTGTCATATAAAACAATATCTAAAATTTTGTAAATTTCCACATCAGCTTTGAATTTTGCAATATAATGTCCAGAAACATAATCAATATCTCGATATTTTACTCGAGAAAAAATCTGAAATTCATTTCCTTTCAAGTCAAGTTTTTCAGCAATGATGTTGTGATAGTTACTAAGGGATATATCATTTAATTTTGTTGTAACCTTACCTACACTTTTACAGCAAAGTATTTCGTAAGCAAATTTAAATTCATGTTTTTTAGAAAGCGTTAAACATATATTTTTTCGAGAAGTTACACAATGTGAGTAAATTTTAAATTCACGATGTTTTGCTTCGTATTTAAAGCACCATACATTTCTTAGTGGTCCAGACTGACGTATTATGTCAGGATAATGAATTAAATTATGATGCTTTGGTTTTAACGTATCATTAAATAGTAATGTGTAACTTTCATTATGTTTTTTAATTTTGAATATAAGTTTTTTTAACATTGTTTCATTTATTTCAAAACACAGCAATATATCCACCAGTTCAATAAAATTAATAAGAAAATTCCATACGTCATCATCAGATGGTACAAGATCACCAACAAATAAAGGAAAATAAAAAGTAAATGTCATCATTTGCCTTGCTGACATTTTAAATTTTCTTTTATGTAAATGTTTAGGTTCTATGTTTCCATTACAAATATTTTTAATTTCAATTGGTCCATAATCAAATAATTTTTTTCTAGAATTTAAGGTACTTAACTTGAAATAATGCATTTGTTCAGTAAAATATAATATTGCATGTGAAAAATTATAGTGACAAATTCCTTCAAACACATCGTGCATCACATCTGCATAAAAATTTTTTACTACATGAAAGGAAGGAATATTGTTAAGTAATGAAGTACTTACAATTCCGGTTTTATCAGGTTGATTATCTTGTACATCACTGTCATAATTTGGAATAGTTCTTAATAAGGTGGTGTCTACAGTAGATAGCTTATGTGTTACAGTTTTAGAGGCCTTACAAAATCTACAAAAGTAATTACTTGAAAATGAAGGATTGAAGTTTAAAAAAGAATTCAGTCCTAGGTTATCACCTAACACTAAAGCAAGAATAAAATGAACTTGAACTTTTTCGTTATTAGAATTGACAATAATTCCCACTTGTTCTAAAAGTTTTAGTTCCTGTACTAGAGTCTTAAAACACTTTTCATTTCCTAAAGTTTTTACATCTTTACATTTTATACAGGCGGCAAGGAATATATTACGTAATTTAGAATTTGCTTGAGGAAAACATGCGAAAGAGTAATATACATTACAAATGGATTGAAAACCTGAACGTGAACCAAGTGCGTTGTTTATTTCAAAATCATCCATATATAAAAAATATGGTATTAAAATTTTACCCGGGTATAAGTTAACTTTTTCTTTCCACAATTCACCTTGAATAAAATTTTTCATCTTATTATCTGCCAACAATAAGTTATTCATATACGTAACCATATTGTTTAAAAGATTATCTTTTTCTAATATTTTTCTTATTTGAAATTTCAGCGGCATTAAAACACCTGTGATTGTTTTTTCAGCGTACTCTAATTTACCCACATTATGCATTGCTGTAATTTGTTTGTCTATTGTGAATTGGTTAATATTATCAATATAATCAGTCTGTCTTAGCCATTTGAGTAGCAAAAATTCTGTATTAATATTACTAAATGGATTTTTCATTTCTGTTATTATAATAAATATTTCGTTATAAATTTCAGGATAAATTTGTAGCTTGCGTTTTGCGAAATTTAATAGAAAATCTAATAAAGGTTCAACTATGTAACTGGTGACTATTGTCTGAATATCAGTAACATCTTTTCTAGAAAAATTGTTGTTATTGTGGAGTGTGAGCAGAAACAATGAGGCTGAAGAAATGAATTTTTTCTGAAAATCTTTAAAATCGACAAATGATTCTTCTATTACATCTTCGTTCGGTGTTTCTTCAGTTGCATTTTGAGAAATAGTAGCTTGAGAAATACAAACTTTGCTTTGACCATTAATAGTAACATGTGGCAATATATTTGACGAGGAATAATCTGCATTGTTAGATGGTTTATTTGCATGATCTGATGACAATATATTATTTGTTTCATTATGTTCAGTATCGTTGTTTAGTTCAAATATCGGGTTTTCTATATGATGACGATTTACATGCCTTTTGAAACTATTAAAATTTTGAAATATTTGTGTGCAGTCAAAACATTTGATAACCGAGTTATTACGAAGATCATGGTAGCGTTTGAAATGTGAAATTAATATTTTTAACACATTAAATTCTTTCTTACAGATGAAGCATTTCATATTTACTTAATATAATATATAGTGTGAAAATCAAAAAAAAAGGGTCAAGTTTTTCGCTAACGCCAAAGTTGAAGTTAAGTACCTCTCACAATTTACCTAACATGCAAGCTTCAATGAATTTTCTGAAAAATAAAGCAAAAACCCTACTTTATACCTATATAATGATATAGAAAGAGAGAAAGGCTATTTTGTAATTTTGTACTCATCTTCAACATCCAGCAATGAATTTTATAAATATTTTTTGATATAAAATAAAACTTTTATTTAACAAAATTTTACACCAATTTAACACTAATTTATGTCGTTTTTCTAACATGAAACACCCTGTGTATGTAAATATACAGTGGGAGTGTAAAGTTTGGAACAAATTCGTTAAATGTTTGATTTGTCCTAAATTTTACCTAAAAAAAAACAATAACTACCGAAAATTTGAGCATTAAAATAAGCGCTTCATAATCACAAAACTCGATTTTTTTCAAAAACGGCAAGGTTTAGGTATAGAAAACCTTTATGAAACTTACGTATATTTTCATCGTACAAACTAAAAATGAAATAAAAAATAGGGCATTCCATTAAAAAAAAAATGTAAGTTATAGCCATATCTCTTTTTTGGGACATCCTGTATAAACACTCACAACCTTTTCTGACCCGCTTTTTAAAATAAAAATCGACGTGTCCGAGCTTTTTTCCCCAATGGACAAACCAAGCATTTAACGAATTTGTTCCAAACTTTACACTCTCACTGTATATTTATTTTGGCCATTGATCTTGCTCTAATGTTGGTAAAAATGGCAAAAAATATTTGGATTTTAGACTGGTACCTGAGCACGTTATACTATTATTGGTTATTGGTTAACACGGTAGATATACAGTGTGTTAGATCTAGCGCGGAGCAAAATTTGAGAGAGGCGGTGTAATGGAGCATATACGTATGTCTAAGAGAGAATATTAGAAGAAGGCACTCGAGGGAGGCTCGATCGATACGCGATCGAAACAAGCGATTTTTAATTCTGTTTCTGTTTCGCTAATGAATTTTGTATTGGCTATCTCGTAGCGAGATTGCTCCGCGCTCGATCTAACACTCTGTATACTTAATTGCTGTGTAGAAGCTGAGTTCAAAACTATGCTCTATATGTGTTTAATTAGGGTAAAACTATTTACCCTATATTAAGGGATTAAACAGTCACAGAAGCTCGAAACTCGAAAAGAATTCTGCCAGGTTATTGAAAAAAGATTTCGACTTACCTGAAAATTAATCATTAATGCCACTTGAAATATTTTAGATAGTCCAAACACAAGCACAAATTCAATAATAGATTAATAGGCTAACCGACAACGTGACCGGCAAACGGCTTCTGTAAAATCAACTATAATGTAATAACGGCCGCTGGCCGCCTCCCCAGCCCCAGAGACAAAATAGTTGACCTTCACGTCTTCGCGGGATAATAAGGTGTTGCCAATTTTAATTTCTAATTAGGAAACAACTAATGCGAATGGTATAACGGGAGCGCAAACACCGCTGCTGATACAAACATGTCTCAGAATTTTTTGGGAGAGCCGACAACAATAGTTGGAAGACTTTTCATTTCAATTAGCCGGGTGATTGATATTTTGACTATTTTATGATGAAACGCGCGGGAAACGAAGCTATTGGAAACAGCATCAAATAATATTATACTTCAAAGACTTCATTTCAATTAGCCGGGTGATTGAAATTTTGACTATTTTGAGAAACGCGCGGGAAACGGCATATTTTAATCACATTAGTAATTGTTCGGATTACACCGGCATTTAAAATTCATTTTTTTGATTAATTCCAAAAATTAAAAAAATATTTTATATTTGTATATTTGATATTTTCTAAATATAGTAGGTATAGGTATGTATATTGCAGGGCTCTGAAATCACGCCTTGTCTTAAATCAGTCCTTGTAAAATGGGTCCTACCAACTATTTCAAGCTGGTATATTTTCAAGCTGGCAATCGCTACGAATCTGCACAGTCGAGTCGATTTTTTTGGAAATTTGGTATTCAATTCAGTCATTCAGTGTTTACGAATTCAACTCGCTATTGCTCGACCTGCATATACTCTCAAAGCGCTGATTTAAGGCAGGGCGCAATTTCAGAGCCATGCATTGTACATACTTTACATGCACTATCTAAGACAGTCAATTGAATCAATCATTCAAAGTAATTGTCGTTACTATTTTGAGTATTATTATAGTATGTGATGAAAATTAACATTAATTCAATCTAACAAGTAATTGGTATGATTACTTTGAAACTGGATTTTATTTAATTTCTTTTTTGTTTGATCTCATTATTCATCAATACTATGCCTAGATGTGATTAAGTTATTCTTTCGAGGTTAATTATCAAAAACATTACTACAATATTTAAAATCCTTGTTTTAATTATAAAATTTTTACATTAATCTCTATAAACATTAATAATGGTACGCTTAAGTGATTAATATAACCATCGTTGTAATTATAACAATGCTGTGAAAATAATTGACGTGATGCTCAGTTTGATTAAATAGATGAAATTTGTAATTAAAATCAATCTTTTCTGGTTAATCACAGCTTGTGATTAAAATTACGAACAATAATTTTTTCAGTGTAAATAGGACTTGCTATACCTAAATGTTAAGGTTTCGTAAATAATTAACATTTTGTTAAAATGTCGACCATTTTTATTTTTTAAATAACTCAGGCCGTATTTCAATTATTGGATCAAAATTTGCACCAGATTATGAAAATCAATCGTGCTTTATCGTCCAATTTTTAAAATGTCTAATGACATAATTTACATACAGGGCGTTCAAGATTTTATAACCAATAATGTATAACTTTAAAGGTGGATAAGTTGATTAATTTAAATGAAACATGGTATTTTTTAATTTTTCATTGAATAGAGCATTTATTTCCCTATCAATTTATATTAGCATGTCCTATACCTAAATCGATTCCTATTGTCAATTTTTATAAAAAACAACGATAATTGCATTTCCAATACGGGGTGTTCCATTAAAAAAAACATAACTTTGATATGTAACTTTTTTCTGTGACATCCTGTATACTTGAAACTAATTTTAAATTATAGCTTAATTAGACATACCCAAAAGTTATATTTACAAAATTTTCATAAAATGGACCGTTAATGAGATATAGACCGAGTCGTATACCGTGAATAACCCTGTATACAGGATGTTTTACTACTATTTTTAAGTGTAGAAATTTGGTAAAAATATGGTAAAAATATGATGAAATAAAGTAACAAAAGCGAATTTTTCTAAATTTATTTCGCCGATTTTCTTCATTGATCAAATTACAAATTCCATATAAAAATTCGGACAGGTCCGAGTTGTCACCCAAATTTCAAAATTTTACCTGTGCGAAAAAAGGTCATGTCCGAGTTGTCACCCGTCTATTGTTATCCGTTCGATGCAGATTATAAGGGTCTAATTGCATAATAATGTTGGGTTTTTTGATTGGGTTAGGAATAGACGGTGAATGTTTTGCATTGGAACTTTTAGAGATAAAACCAAATTGCAATAAGGTTACAAAATTTTGTGATTTTCCTCCTCAAGTATGGGTCGAACATTCATCGTCCTTAATGCGAACCACAAATGCATGTGAATCATTCCATGCGACAAGTAATCAATCGTTTTATACGCCCCACTCTAATGTACATAAATTTTTAAATGTTCTTTTAAATTTTCAAATTTGTATTTGCGTTTGTTCATTAAATAAATTCTACATACATGTAAGTAAAAGGAAATTTGAGTTTATTTAAATTTTAATATTTTCAGAATCATGTTGATCTTATAAAATATATGTAAAATTCAAAAAATATTTAATGTACCTACCTAAATAATAAAAAAAAAACAAGTTGGTTAGCTAAAATCCTAAATATTTTTTGAAGGAAGTAGGATTAATCGAAAACCTAATTGCACCCTGCCGTACCTACCCCAGGTAACGGGTGACAACTCGACCCCTATCGGGTGACAACTCGACCCATAAGAACTGACCGGTTAGCATTCGGGTGACAACTCGACCTCTCCGAAAAATTCATTAATATAATTTAACAAGAAATTTAATAATTATGTATTCATTGTACCCCACGTCATAATTCTTTGGCGGGAATTGCAGGACTTTCATCGGCATTTACAATTTTTCTAAAAATCAAACAAATTTATTAATTAAATAAAATTACACAGATACAGAGATAAGTTATATTAATTATCCATTAATATCTAAAAATATATCTAGGTAGTAATTAAGTTAGATAAATAGTTAACTATACAGTGCTTTTCACGGTAACCGTTTATTAGAACTTAAAGGAGTTCCCCAAAAAGTTATAAATTTGAAAATTTAGAATTAAAGAGTAAATAGGAGTTTAGGAGTATATACAGGGTGTCCCAATAAAAAGTAGCCCCTTTAATGAGCTTATAATTTTAAACGCCTAATCATAAAAACATGCGGTTTTCTTAAATATGTTTTATTTTATTAGTTTATTTCTATTATGTTAAGTTTAAGTTTTGTTACAGTGATAATACTCTTCAAATTTTCAAAATGTATTATTTGTACATTTCTATAAAAGAGTCCTATTTCATAAAATTTGGTTAATGTGATTTTAAAAGAGGGGATTTATATGAAATATCCTGTACAGGCGATACAAAATTTTTGTACAGCAAACAAAAAGTTATAGCGAAATTAAATAAAACTGTCAAAACCGCATGTTTTTATGATAAGGCGTTTAAAAATTATTAGCTTACTAAAGGGGGTACTTTTTATTGGGGTACTCTGTATTGTCAAGGATACGTGACTTCCGGTCGTACCGGAAGTAGATGTCAATTTCGTAATTTCAATTGAAAAGAACCATTTTTGACTCCATTTTTGGATTCTGTGGCCATTTTTAACACAACTTTGATAATAGCACCATCTGCCAAAAATGCATCATCATGTTATTTGATTTGAAATTTGGTTCGATAATGCCCAGGCACAGTATTAAATGAACTATGGTGCATATACAGAACGTTTAAAATTGTCTAACAAACATGGCTAACGTAAAGTGGCTATAACTTTGTTATTTGAAATAGATTACCCTGTAATTTTAGGGATTGAACAATGGATATTTTTAATACCTTTCGATCCATATGGATATTCTCTTTACCCAAATCCAGTCCTTGTTGAAATAATCGAACTTTTCTTATTTAAGCTATAAAATTTCTCTTCTCCAGTCATCTAGATGGCTAATCGATCCCTTTAATACGCCATAATTTTGTTATTAAAATAACAAGTCATTACTTGAACCAGTTTACGGTTAATTTTTAGTCCAACCCTTGATTTAGAAATTTTTTTTATAATTAAAATGGTTTTGTAACCAACGTTTCTATATTTCCGAATTTTAAACATGGCAATGTTCATTATAAACAAGATGAAAATGAGGTTAGTTTTATTGTCATTGAATTAAAATTGAATTTTATCGTATTTGACAGAACTAATGTCAAATAAATAAATTGCTTGACAATTGCTACTTACCGTCCATAGCCATCTAGATAATTGCAACGTTTAACATACAGATTATTCATATTCAGTACTGCCTCAAAATGACACTATTATCGTTGTTTTATATAAAAAAAATGTATAGAAATACAACAAAATACAAAAAAATATAAAATGGATGCTAATATTAATTGATAGGAAATTAAATGCCCTTATATAAAGAATTAAAATTTATTTCGTTTCATTTAAATTATAATCAACATCCACGTTTAAAGTTTCAAAATTTTGAACGCCCTGTATTTAATAATGATATTTTAAAAATTGGAAGATGAAAAGGGTCTAAATTATTCAAAAAAATATAAATTTTTTACATTTCAACAAAATATTATAATTATTTACGATACCTGAATATTTAGGTATAACAAGTCCTATTTAAAATAACATTTTAAACGAGTCAAAAAATGTATAAATATACGGGGTGTTCTATTTAAAAGAAAACATAACTTCGACAAGTTTTTTGGGATACCCTGTATACTTGAAACTAATTTCAAATTAAACCGGTTATGAGATAGACAGAGTCGTATACCGTGAATAACCCTGTATATAAATAAATATATTTTCATCTAGTAATTATCTATTAAATATCTAATACAGTGTGTCTACTTAAGTTGGCACCATATGGAAAACTTTTTTATTATTAATTTTACGAAAAAAAGTTATTCTTCATAAAAAGTTCTGCATGCTTTAAAACCTAAAATACAATCATCAGATATCTAATTTTTTCAGTCATATACGAGGTTTGTCAGAAAATATGAATTTTGCTCAAAAGTAAAAATCTAAAAATCTATTTTTGAAAATATTGGAAATTGTTATCTGTATTCTCTTTATTCGTTAAAAATTTGAACTTCTATGTTGCATTAGTTTGATTATGCATTAAAATAAATGATAACAAAATAATTTATTTTACAATAATTATAGACTATACTTGCCGCGTTTGGAAGACGGAGTAATAAAAATGCCAGGCGGTTACAAAATATCCCTACCCCATTACGGCAAAATCCTGTACAATGATCGATTCGATCGATAGAAATTTCGCACATCGCCTACAATTACTCAAAACCATTCACAGAGTACCAACTTTTAGGCCCGCCAATGGAGAGTGAGGGAGACCGGCGGTTCATTTACACCCCGGGTGGACTCAGGTGATTTATATATTTATTACTCCGTCTTCCAAACGCGGCAAGTATACATAAAAACATTAAAAATGTAATTTTTAGTCCTGATCAACTTTTCTTAATAAAAATTTCCGATATTTTCAAAAATAAAGGTACTTTACTCTTGAGTACAAAACACATTTTTTTGACAAACCTCGTATACGGATTAAAAAAATTGTTATCTGATGGTTGTATTTTAGGTTTTAAAACATGCAGAACTTTTTATGAAGAATAACTTTTTTTCGTAAAATTAATAATAAAAAAGTTTTCCATATGGTGCGAACTTAAGTAGACACACTGTATATCTAGATAATTAGGATAAATAAATCAGATAATTAATTTTATAAATTGCAAGTAAATTTGGCTTTGATTTAGGTAAAATTTTAATTCGATTGGTTAAGGATGTAAATAATAAAAAATAACTAAAATAATTTAAAAAAAATTGTGAAAGGATACCTTATATTTATAAAAATAAAATATAAAAAAATCGAAAACAATTTATTTTAAAGGATATAGGAAGAAAAAATCGCAAAACTCAGTATTTGTATTTAATACATTAACCTATTTGTTATTATTAATCGAATTAAAAATAACCTTTTTCTGCGTATTAATAACTTATCTAAAGCCAAATATATTAATTAAAATTATTTTTATAAAATATAATATTAATAAAATATTTAAATAATAACATAAAATAATGTAATAAACCGAACGTAAAACAAATTCCCCCTTTTTATCAATATTCACCGACTTATTTATTTTTAATACTTTTCGCAATATTAAAATTAGGTTGACCAGAGTTCAATTTTTGATTATTTTTTAATATTTTCATTATCTTGATTAAGAAAATTTAAACAATTACAGCCTTATTCATAGTCGCCTCCTTAAAATGATGTTAAAACACCACTAGTTAGTGGCCACTAACATCATACTAACAAGCCACTAACGTTTCCTATTCATAGTCGCATATTTCTTTCCTACTAGTTAAAATAATGCTAGCAGAATAATGAACGTGGCAACAACGGGGGTAACTTAAAATTTTATTTTATATTGGAGATTTTGGCACATGGAATTTTGGTTTGGGAAAATCATGATTATTAGCCAATTATACACTTTGACCAAGTACGTTTGATACCAACGTTTGAACGGTTTATATTCTTTTGTAACTAGCTATCGGTATTTGAAAGTACAACAATTTTATCCTTTTTTATCTCAAAATGCAATAGAAGATATAAGATGCAATATAAGATGCGACATAGGGATTCCTGTACAAATGTGTCAAAAGCAAGCTAACTTTTTTACCAAATAACGTTCATAAAAAAATAATAACAGATTTGAAAATATCGTAAAAAAATATGTCGAAATGGACATTAAATTTTCTTAAATTCGTTCTGGTTTATTAAAAAAATGTATAATTAAGTTGAAAAAGTCATACGCCATATATAATTCCTTTTTATAACACTATCTAATTTGTTGCAAAAGGGGCGGAGCTAACAGAGATAGTTAACGCTCTGCAATTTGAAAAAATAATCTTGAAATAATGTGGTTCAAACCCCGTTTGGGCCAAAGTTTATTTTTGATTTTTTTTTGGTTTTTTTAATGTTTTTGTCTAAAAAAAATGTTAAATAAAAGTATTTAAATTAAGATAAGCTTAATTGGGATAAAAGTTTATTTTTATTTAATTAAATGTTCAGACAATTTTTTATTGGGTTTCCTAAAAAATAAGGTTGCTGAATATCAACCAAAGACAGAAGAGGAATTGAAAAATATTATTACTAACGAATGTCAAAAAATTAGTAGAACTAGAATAATGATTAGTAGAACTAATCGTAATTAATAGGTTTGTTCCTACAAAAAGTCACTGATTTGTTACCAATAAGTTTCTGACTCTTCTATTTCGCATGCGCGGTTTATGATTGAATGGTGTAATCAAATTTCCGATTTCTTGATGGAACAGTCTTTACATTTATTACATATTCACCAAGTATCAAACAAAAACAACAAACAACATAACCTAATAATTAACCTATATTCAGAAATACAAATTAAACCCGAATTGAAAATGCGCTTGCGCCGGATTCTAAATCTCTGTACTATCAGCAAATTTTTCTGACTATCACAAAACCAGTCCCTTGAACTGTTGGAACAATAAATTGTTAACCAAATCAGAATCAGAGATGTCTGTGGAGTTTGTTGGAACGCCTAAATTATTACTGCGCAGACTCCTGACGTCCACCGGCTATTTCTGACTGTTGTAGGAACAAACCTAATAATGTACGGCGGAACTTTTATCATCGTTTGGGACTGTTTAGCAGAAAATGGAAAACAATTTGAACATTTAATTAAATAAAAATAAATTTATATCCTAAATAAGCTTGTCTTATTTTAAATACTTTTATTTAACATTTTTTTAGACAAAAACATTAAAAAACCAAAAAAAATTAAAAAAAAACTTTGGCTTAAGCGCGGTTTGAACAACATTACTTCAAGATTATTTTTTCAAATTGCAGAGCGTTAACCATCTCTGTTAGCTCCGCCCCTTTTACAACAAATTAGATAGTGTTATAAAAAAGAATTATTTATGGCGTATGACTTTTTCAACTTAATTATACATTTTTTTAATAAATGAGAACGAATTTAAGAAAATTTAATGTCCATTTCGACATATTTTTTACGATCTTTTCAAATCTGTTATGAACGTTATTTGGTAAAAAAGTTAGCTTGCTTTTGACACATTTGTACAGGAATCCCTATGTCGCATCTTATAAATTACACATTGTAAAAGAAGCTAAAGAAGTAAATGTATTAATACGAAATCCTGTTGAAATTCAAATATTAGCATCGATATCGATACTTATCGATACAAAAGGGTAGTAAAAACACAGTAAAAAGGCAAGAAAGACGGAGTGAACGCTCGATTTCACACACTAGACGTTTGTTAACTGTTTTAAATTGTGTTTAAAGTAACTTAAATACTCCTTGTAATGCCACTAAGAAATTTAGTGGCTACTAACAAAAATAACATTTTAGTGGCCACTTAATGGAACAATGAATAGCATTTTTTAGTGGTATTTCAGTAGTGTGTTAGTAGCCACTAAATACGACTATGAATAGGGCTGTGGAATTTTCAAAATTCCCCCTTTTTTAGCCTAAAGAAAATATTTATTTTCGTACTTTTTTAATAAATTAAATTCTCCTGGATTGAACTATTTATTTCGATTTAATATAATTTAAAACTAAAATAAATTGAATACTAATTTAATTTTTTTTTTCAAGGAAGTGGAATTGTTTATTCGTTCGGGGTAAGAAATTAAATAGAAATAAAATTAATTAAAACACAATGAAATCGAAATTTAATCGATAAAATGCAATTAAATTATTAAATAATATTTAAATAAATTTCGTATGGATTTTATTAATTGGGCTTTACTAACATATTTAAATATTCAACGACGAATATCCTCAAAATTTTATTAATATCTTCGATCGTTTTGGAATCGATTATATGGCGATTGTCGTGCTCGGAATGCCATTCTTTCGGAAATGGAATCGATATCAAATGTAATACTGGTACTTCTAAAAAAATAATTAGAATTAATTAATTTAAATTGCAAAGAAAAATTTAAAGAAAAGAAATAAAATAATTATTTAAAATTAATACAAATGGGAAAAACTAAATTAATTGAAAAAATACTAACTAAATAATTATTTCATTTCAAACTAATATAATTAGTTAATAATTATTAATAAAATTAGGAAATAATAATAAAAAACTACTTAAAAAAAGAATTAAACTGAAATAAAATAAATAAAATAATAGATTACTTTTGTATACGAATGGAATATGATCGTCTTCAATGTAACCTAAATATTTCCTTTTTGCAAAATATCGATTATCATAACTTTTGTTTTCGAGTAAATTCAAATTGTTTAATTTATCTTCTAATTTCGCCATGTGCAGGTACCTTAAAAACAAAAAAAAACAATACTGATTGGTGTTTGAGATATAGTAGGGAATTTTGCAATTGATTAATTATTTATTTATTCCCCGAATAATTTGTATAAAATTCCCCATTTTACACTTGGAATAATTGTTATTTATTCCCCATATAATCTATATAAAATTTCCCTCATATTACTGAAATTTACTCAATCTCCTCAAAACCAACATCTTTCCCATTTTAACACATCCCCATACGTTATACAAAATTTTACTAACCGTTTTACCATCTCGCCATGTTACCACATCCCCATTTTGCTACCATTTCATCATCTCCCTATTTTTCATACATTTTGTTACCTCCCCATTTTCCTACATTTTCAATTTACTCCCATTTTACCATAATCCCCTATTATACCTACCATGAGCTTGGTGTTCTTGAAACAACACAAAAATCTCGTACCTTCGTGTCCAATCAACAAATTCAATAAAATAAACAAATCGATTCTTTCCATTTTACTCACAATAATAAAAAAATAACTCATTTTACTCATAAAATACCCCATTTGACTCCCCCCATAATAGCCCAATTTACCTAAAATCAAACATGCCCCATTTTACTCAAAATTAATCATTCCCCATTACCCCTTCATTTTTAACATCCCATTTTACGCCTGTTTTTACTGCCGTTTCATAATCTCCGCCCCAATTTACCACATCCTCAATTCACTCCAATTTTACCACATCCCTATGTTATTACCCCAAAATATCTCATTTTACTCATGATGAAACACCTTATTTTACTCAAAATCAATCACATCCATTTTACCATCTCCCACCTAAGGCCCCATTATACCTACCAATGCTTGGTGTTCTCGAAACAACTCAAAAATCTCGTACCCTCATGTCCGATCAAATCCAATAAAATAAACAAATCGATTCTTTCCAAATCGGAAACGACGTCGTTCGTCAATTTACTTTTGAATCGATTCCTCTCCCATTTATCGGCCAAATGTTTCGCCCCGTAAATCGAATCGGTGGGGCCCCATTTCTCGAAGGCTTCCTCACCGTCGAAGAACACTAATTTTAGGCTGAGCGGGTAGTCCGAGGTTAGAGACTTGAGCTCGTTTTTGAGCGTTTTGGCGAGGTTTAGGAGCATCGCGCACGGCACTGCCGAGTCGGTGGCTCCTGGAAAAATATATTATTTTGATAATATAATATTAATAATACAATATTAATATTACTTATTAATTTATGTAACTGCATGTTACATTTTATAACTGTTTTTATAATTTTTTGAGTATTTGTAGGTTTTTGATTTTTTTTTTAATTAATTATTTGTCACTTTTAATTTTTTCAGTCCATTTTTAGTCGATTTCTAAACAATTTTTGTAGTTTTTCTTTAATTTATTTTTTGTCACTTTTAGGTAATTTTTAGTAAACATTTGATTCATTTTTAGTCAATTTCTAGACAATTTTTGAAGGTTTTTTTAAATTATTCTTTGTCACTTTTAGGTAATTTTTCAGTCAATTCTTAATTCATTTTTAGTCAAGCTTTGAACAATTTTTGAACAAGATTTTTTTAGATAGCTTTTACCTATAAGATAGATTAGCATTTAGATATTTTAGAAAGATTTTCGAAGAATTTTATAGACTTTTTTTCTCAATTTTAGGTGGTTTTAAGTCGATTTTCGATCCATTTTTAGACGATTATGTCATTCTGTGGTGGCTCCTGTTATAAAAATATATTAATTAATATTAAAGTTATTAATAATATCAATTAATGTTCATTTTTTTGGTTATATTATCTATTTTTAGTCGATTTTTATTTTTTTTTTAGTTTGTTTTTGAACAATTTTGGACGATTTTTGAACAATTTTCTAGCCTATTATTAATGAAATTTACATCAACTTTTTAACAATCATTGGTGGTTTTTTGTCGTGGTTGTCGGTCTTTTTTTGATCCAATTTTATTCTATTTTTTATTCGATTTTTGAACAATTTTGGTCGATTTTTGAAATATTTTGTTCAATATTTGATAAATATTTTAATATTTAATAGTTTTAGTTTTAACAATTTTGAACCTATTTTAAATTTTTGTTCTTCGATTTTTGGACACTTAAGTCGATTATTTAACAATTTTAGGTATTTTCGTACAATTTTTAGTCGATTTTTGTTAAAGTTATTGATCGATTTTTAAGAAATTTTATTCGATTTTTGAACAATTATTGTCAATTTGAGATAATTTTTAATGGCCATTTCTCGTCGATTTTTTGGTCCATTTTTGGTCGATTTGTGAGCAATTATTCGACTTTTGAGCAATTTTTTATTCGATTTTTAAACAATTTTTTAGTGCTCTAGATCAATTTATAAACAATTATTCCTAGCTTTCTGTCGTTATTTGTCTTTTTTTATCAGTTCGGTATATTGTGAAAAAATATAAATCTACTGGTTCTGTGGAAAATAAGTCAAGATCGAGATGTCCTACCAAGTTAACTCAACGAGATCAGAATTTCATTTCTCAACAAGTTAAAAAAAATCCCTTTGCAAGTGTTCGTTAGATCGCTTCTGAACTAGAATCCAGTACAGGGCATAAGATCCATCCGGTAACTCTTCGATACCACATTGGGTAATTAGGATATAGAGGAAGAAGACCTGCTTAACGCCCTGGATAAATAAGAATAATCGAAAAAAATACGGCATTAAAATTATTTGAATATTTTATTGGGTTTTAGAGATACGATATATAGTATGCCACGCTAGCTTCAGTCTGAAGTTAGCGTGGCCGCTTTTTTTCGAAAACGGCTGTAGCAAAAAAAAATATTCTTTCGTGAAAGAATAGTAAAAAATTTGCAAAAAATACGACATTAAAATTATTTGGATATTTTATTGGGTTTTAGAGATACGATACATGCCACGCTAGCTTCAGTCTGAAGTTAGCGTGGCCGCTTTTTCTCGAAAACAGCAGCAGCAAAAAAATTAATTCTTTGGCAAAAAATAACAAAAAATTAGCAAAAAAAATATGGACTAAATAATTTTTGTGCCCAACGATTTTGCCACGCTAGCTTCATAGACATAGAGTTCTGGAACCAGATTATATTGCCAGATGAGAGTAAGTATAACATTTTTGGATCGGATGGAGCCAAATCTGTCTATAGAAACCCAGGGGAAAGAATGAATCACCGTAACTTACGCGCGACGGTTAAGTATGGTGGGGGTAATGTAATGGTTTGGGATGTAGGGAAGTATGGAGTCTTCGTTTTATTGAAGGTAATATGGACCAAGGACATTTTAAGCCACCATTTAAATGCGAGCGCTGAAAAACTTGGGATATCAGCTATTTCTTTTAGCAAGATAACGATCCCAAGCATACTGCCAAGTTCATAAGGGAATGGTTGCTTTATAATGTTCCACATTTGCTAAAAGCCCCACTGCAATCCCACGTCAACCCCATAGAACATTTGTGGGAGCATTTGGAGCAGATCATAAGGAAAGGGAACATTCAAAATAAAAATGCTCCAAGATAAAGCTCCTTACTCAACGAATGGAATAAAATAAAGCCCGATATAAACAAGAAATTTTGTTGAATCAATGCCCCGACGGTTGCAGTCGTTGCAGTTATAGAGGCAAAAGGGTATCCAACAAAATATTAGGGAATAATTTTTTTACTGAAATTCAACATATATGTGCATTTTTAATTTTTATACGAATACTTATTTTGGATATGGAAATAAATAATTATTTTTTTATTTTTAAAACTACGAATTTCATTAACCTTTGCAATATTAAATTATAATTAAATTGTAATGTAGATTTTGTTTTGTTAATTGTTTTTTCATTTGTATATTCCTTAAACATTAAATTACACGTATAATGATTATAATACGGGTGACGAAAATTTTTTGTCGAATAAGTACTTTTTTGGCGAATATTAGAATTCGCTTCGCTTCGTCCACTAAGTGCGAATAGTGGGGTAGCAGGCGTGACCCCAAGTAGCAATTTTAGTAGTAAAAACTGGATTTAAGTCGCCGAAACTTATTGATGGTAAATTTAACCAAGTATTTCCTAAAATTGTTGCATTAAAAGGAAAAACTACAATACTGTCTTTTTTGAAGTAACAGTTAGGTCGCATTAACTTTAAAAGTTACTTTATGGTTTCATAACTTATTTGTCATTTATGTAGTAGAAGTATGTAATATACAACGTTCTAATATTCTTTGAAGTATATTCTACTTTTTGGTAATAAATGTTAGTAACTACTACTTGGGCAAGTTACTAAAATATGACTAGAAAGTAATAATTACTTTAGAGTATATTTTGAAGTTATAGTTACGTTTCTGAAACTAAACATGACTACCGGAAAATTTTGTTCTTTCTAAGTGACTGTAGACGTAAAAATGCAGGTTTGCAACTAACTGGTAACTTTGTTATAGAAATTTGAAGTTACATTGACTCTCTAATCTAAGTAATCATTATTTTAAAGTTGCATAAAGTAGGAACCGTTACTACAAAGTCATTTGTTCGAATATTCGCCATATTTTACAGTAAAAAATCGCGGCCATATTGTCAATGTTTGTTAATTCCATTTTTCGTTCAATGTTTTCTACATTTCCAGGCTGATTAAACTGATTAAGACATTTAACTATAATATAATAGTAATAAATAGAAGAGATAATTTATAAAAAAAATCATTTTTTATATTTTTTTTTATTTTTTTTTGTTTTTCTCAATTGATATAAAACCAATTTCTGGACAGGCGCTTTTGTTTTATAGAACTAATATGACAGACTTTATCAATAAACTGAGATTCGTTTTAAATTTTAATATCGGAAAACGTTTAAAACCGTGTAGCAATAATTTCTAGATTAGTATAGACGCATTTATTAATGGCCTTCCTTGTTTCTGTACTTGCAAACCATTTTTGTAAAGTGGAAGAGTTAGTATAGTATAGCGGTATGGTAAATTGCTAAAAACAAAGAAAGAGAGAAAATCGGAAAGAAGGATTCATCGCAGTTACTTTAAAGTAGTATTTACGGAAATTCAACGTTGTCGTCACGGAACTACGTGGTTGCCACCTCGTAGTTATTTAAGTAAATATGTATACTTGCCGCGTTTGGAAGACGGAGTAATAAAAATGCCAGGCGGTTACAAAATATCCCTACCCCATTACGGCAAAATCCTGTACAATGATCGATTCGATCGATAGAAATTTCGCACATCGCCTACAATTACTCAAAACCATTCACAGAGTACCAACTTTTAGGCCCGCCAATGGAGAGTGAGGGAGACCGGCGGTTCATTTACACCCCGGGTGGACTTCAGGTGATTTATATATTTATTACTCCGTCTTCCAAACGCGGCAAGTATAAATAAATTGATGCTTAATGTTGTATATTCACTTTTTGATTTGACGAAAGTGGGGGTGCTAAGATTATGGAGCAGCGACAATCATAGCTTTCTATTTAATTTTTTGATGTTAATAATGAAAATATAGAAAAACTTTTTGTGGTACAAATTAGCCTTTAATATCCCCTATATTTTGATCCATTTGATTTTAAATTCGGACAAAGTGGGGGTGCTGCCTTGAACTCAAGCTAGCACCCCCCATTTTCAATGCCGTTTTTCTCGATATATCGCGGTGGTACAAATTTTAATTTTTGTGGTACAAATTAGCCTTTAATTAGCTCTTAATTATAGGCTACTTTTTTTTCAATTTAGTCGAGGTGGGGGTGCTAGCTTGATTCACATTTTATTTGTATAAGTTTTAAAACAAGCAGCATGCTTTTTGCTTGCTAGCAGCAAGTCGCACGTTGCATGCAACTTTAGTGTGAATGCTCACTTAAAGTCCAATTGCACGAGATAAATGAGAAATTGCGGGGAATTTTAATTTGTAATTTACAAAATTCGATTACATCGAAATTTCCGAGAATCTATTAATATATTGTTTACGCTATTAATTCTATTAATAAATTCGATTATACGCTAAATAAAGTTTCGTAATTAATGAAATAAAAATAATTGCAAAGTAATCAAGTTTTAATACGCGTGGAAAATTTGGGCGAGCGTAATTTTTGGTAGAATATATTTGTTTTGAAATTATCAAAAAATGACCAACAAAATATGTATATCAAAAATTCTTCACAAAAATGATTAAAATTTTATCAAAACACAACAAAAAAAGGCTAAAACTTGATCAAAAATCAAGAAGAAATTGATGAAAAAATTTATGATGATAATGATTTTTTGTACGGTTTATTTTCTTATATTAAGAGATTTTTGATCGATTTTTGAACAATTCTTAGGTCAATTTTTAGATAAATTGTTTTGTCGATTTTTAAGCAATTTTTGGTCGAACTTTGAACAATTTTTTTAGTCTAATTTTGGTAAATTGTAGGTAATTTATTGATGTTTTTTTCATCAGTCTTTTTGATTTATTTTATTCTTTTTTTGGTGAATTTTTAAAGTATTTTTGTCCTTTTTGGTTGTCAATTTTTATCAAAAAAACCATTAAACAATAGACTAAAACATTAACCAAAAATTGACTAATAAAGTTTGAGCAAAATTGTACTAAAAATAGACTGAAAAATAGACCAAAAATAGATTAAAAATAAACCAAAAACAGATAAAAAAATCGACCAAAAACAGATGAAAAAATCGACTAAAAATAGACCAAAAAACGGCTAATAAATTGACCATGTTAGATTTCACAATTGACCGCTCCTAATTCGAAAGCATAAAACACTCAGTGTATTCGTTTATTTTTTTTAGTTGTTATACAGGGTGGATATTAGTATGGAAAAGTTCAATATATCTGTTATTGTAGAAGATATCAAAAAAAACTTTAGACTGTAATATCGACTAAGAAATTATTAAAATATACAGCAAAAATAGACTAAAAAAATACCAAAAATAGACATACGTCGACTAAAACATTGACCAAAATTTGACTAAAACATTTTGTTAAAAAATTAAATAAATTCCCTCATATATCTACCAAAAGAAGTCGCCAAAAATACACTAATAGTAGATCAAAACTTGTCCAAAAATAAACTAAAAATTGACCAAAATTTGACTAAAACATTTTGTTAAAAAATCAAATTAATTCTCTCATAAAATCACCAAAGCCCGGTTGCTCGTATGCGAATAAACTTCGGGATTAGGCCGAGATTAAATCGGGATCAAATATGGCCGCCCTATTGCAGTACTTAACTATTAATCCGACTTTGATCCGAGATCAGTTGATTTGACTTTGATCCGAGTACGAGCCACCGGGCCCAAAAGAAGCCGCCAAAAATTGACTAAAAGTTGATCAAAAATTGCCCAAAAATAGACAAAAAAATTAACCAAATGAAGCCCAAATTGCCCAAAATGTAGACTAAAAAAATGTCCAAAATTTGACTAAAAAACTGTCTAAAATTCGACTAAAATATTTTGTTAAAAAATCAAATATATTTCCTCATAAATGAACCAAAACAAGTCGCCAAAAATTGACTGAAAGGAGATCAAAAATTGTCCAAAAAAGGAACTAAAAAAAATTGATAAAAAATAAAAAAAAATCGGTGTAAATTGGTGTAACAGTCGGATGGTAGATTCGAAACCTACCGGAATTCAGTGGGTATAAGTCAGATAGACTTTAGCAGGTGCAAAAGATTTCTGTGCCATATGCAGTATTTTATTCACGCCGGTAACCAGGCCGGAGGAGATCGGATATCTCTTGATAAACGATAGGGGTTTTGGTGGCACAGAAACAGACTTGTAGTCGATAGAATCATCTGAACAAAGGGATTATCCGGGGTTTGAATATGATTCGATGACCGTGGTATGGAATCTACGATAAACTGTAGGTCCCGTCTAAATTAGCCTCAGTAGCAGAAAAGAGACATTAAAATAATAAGCAAGCAAGCAACAAAAAAATCGCCATAAAAATCGATATAAAATATAGAGCAACAATAAACCAAAAAAAAACTTTCAAAAGTAAATGTTCAAAAATCTACAAAAAAAACTTACCAACAAATTCAATATCTTCATAAAACTTGCTGTCATAATGACAAGCCAACACCAAAAACCTCTCGGCGTGCGGATTCAAATAGGCTATAATATTTCTAAACGTTTTCCTTCCGTGAGGAGTATCATCTTCGAATTCGTCGGGCTCAATTGTCCAATTGAGGCTCTCCAGCTCGGAAACGATGTAATCGTAGACCTTCCGGTGGTTCTGAGTACCCACCACTCGTGGTATCAGAATGTTATCTAATACTTGTTCGGTGTATTTTTTGTTAGATAAATGCGATAGGTGTTTTATGGCGGAATCGTCCAATCGTAGCGGGCTGTGTTTTAGCTGGAAAATTGCATTGAAGAATTCATTTTTATCGATTTATTAAATTGTTTAGATATTGTAGAATGTGGTAATGGATTGTTGTATTTGTCGTATTATTTTAAATAAACTAGGGTTTCTGTAAATTCTTACTTTTCGAGACGTTTCGAATATTTTGTCGATTTTTGGGTTATTTTGCTAGTCAAATCACTTTTTGACTATACTTGGATATTTATTTGATTAATTTATAGTCGATTATTAATCGTTTTTGCTCGATTTTGTGATCGGCAAAATTACCCAAAAACGATTAAATTTTATAAAAAAATTAAACAAATTTTACAAAAAAAGCCTACATCAAATTTACCAAAAATAGACCGAAAAATTGTTTACGAAAAAAATTAATATAAAATTGACAGATTCACCAAAAATTCTATAAAAAACCGGCCAAAAGGAATTGTCCACAAAAAGTTGTCTAAAGTACGAGGGACTAAAATAGACTAAAAATAGACCAAAAAATGACCCAAAATGTGCTAAAAATAAATAGACCAAAAATAGACTAAAAATAGATCCAAAATAAACTAAAAAATAGTCTAAGAAAACGTCCAAAAGTAGACCAAAAATGGACTTAAAATAATGATAAAAAATACACTAAATATTATAAACCGACAAATAGATTAAAATATAGAGAAAAAATTGACTCTATTATATTGACAAAAAAATACACTAAAAATAAACCAAAAATGAAATAAAAAATAGACAAAAAATTAACTAAAAATAGAACAAATACACAAAAAAATTTACCAAACTAGATTAAAATAGAGTGGTTTTTATTTTGTGATTATTTTTAAAATTGTTTTTTAAAAATATTCAAAAGCTAATTTGAGATAAAATCACCTTGTATTTTTTATAATGTAGAGAAAATGTTTCTGCTGGAAAATTGATTAATCATTTCAATATTGATTTGATAATATTGAATTGATTGGGCATTGTAGAATGTTAATGGATTGTTCAAAGGATATTCATTAATTATTAATTATTCATTAGGTAATTAATTTATTACAAAATTGAAAATTTACGAAAAATTCTTAATTTTTGAACTATTTCGAGTTTTTATTTTATTTGTGACTGTTTTGTAAATTGTTTTTTATTATACCTAGTAATTCAAAAACTAATTAATATAAAATCGCCCGTTATATTTTAATTCATAGAGAAAATGTTTCTTTACAATTTTCAAAGGATCGAAAGTTTTGGAAAAATTCTTAATTTTTGAGTTATTTCTTTATTCGTGATAATTTAAAAATTGTTTTTTTGATATACAACAATATATGTTGCATTTTTCATTGCAACATAGGCTATGGGTGCAACAAAAACTGTCTTCAATTAGACACTTATAAAGGAAAAAGAAAGATTGACATTATATCATTGCAACTTTTCACTCTGACAACTGTTATTTTAATACTCTTTCTTTATTCAACTCATAGAAAAGCCCATGTTGCAATCGCGAATGAAGCACAGTGTATGTAACTCAAAAACTAAATTATGTAAATCACCCGGTATATTTTATTTTGCAGAGAAAATGTTTCTTTACATTTTTCTAAAAATCCAAAATTTTCGTAAAATTCTTATTTTTCGAGTTATTTCGAGTTTCTTTATTCGTTACAGTTTAAAAATTGTTTTTTTGATAAAATTCAAAAACTATTTTATGTATAATCACCCTATGTATTGTATATTGTAGAGAAAATGTTTCTCAAAATTAAATAAGAAAATTCTCACTGAAAAACACTCATTTATTAACCAAATAGACCAGCAAGACCAATTTCCAAAATACTTCGATACCCTCCCAATTCAACCCGAAATCAATCGAACTCCCCTCTTATTTTTACCCAAAATTCTTTAATTCCAATTACAAACCTAAATTAAAACAAACACTCGAATAAAACCAAAATGTTATCCAAATAACCCCTCAAAGAAGACCAATTAAGAAACCCACCGATACCTTCAATACCCTTCCTGATCCAACGCAAAACCAATTGAACTCTCCTCTTGAACCCAAGACCCTTTAATTCCCATTACAAACCAATATTCAAATAAAAACTCGAAATAAAATAGAAAAAACTCACTTGAAGGGACCTAAACTCAGATTCCCCCGTTGTCACTTCCATAACGACAATCATCGAAAAAACTTCAAGTAAAACTCTCATCATGTTTCCTATTCACTCGGAACGTTCATCTACAAACATTCAAGTTATTAAACTACAACACTACCAGCTCTTGCACTTATTTATACGCATTAAACACTAAACAAATACCGTCCGGTGACTGCCATTTTAGAACGCCCCACTATTTTATTTTTTGCTATTACGTCGATATCCCCATTATTATCACGATGTACTGACCTTCTTTGCGAGTACAGATCGATTCTCAAGCGAATTAAATCGCGTAATTTCAATATTCGATAAGTGAAAGTGGCAAAAATCCGACGCGAAAAGTGACTAAAGTGAGGTTAGATTGACGTAGATTATTTTTTCATCTTCTTTTTTTCTGCTATATGTCAAATGTCAATGAGTTGATGTAGGAGAATAGAAAGTAATAAATGAGGAATAATTAATTAAATAAATAATAAAGTGAGAAAAACGTTAGATAATACGTACATTTAGATTAGATAATAAATATATAGGTTGTTTATTTATATTGTAAAATTGTAATAGATTTTCTTCTTTTTTATTCTAAACGATAGCTGTCAAAGCGGTCAAAGTTGATGAAGGAGAGTAAAGAGTAATAAATTAGGAATAATGGACAATTAATTAGTTAACGCCCGTATGCACCGTATATGTTTAATCTAGATTATGTATTTATTCTCGATTTTGTTCGATTGCCGATATGCACAGAAAATAGGTCTAGCCCTTCTACACCATCCTACCCTCCTACCCTTCGCTACCCCATCTACACTCTGCTACCCCCTCTTTCCCTACTCTATCCCCTGTTACATCTTCTACCCTCCACTACCCCTACCCTACCCCTCCTACCCTAATCTATCCCCCCTACTCTACACCTATTGGTTAATTAGTCCAATATTTTATTATTATTACATTATTACTTAACTGGGCATGTTAATTTTAAACTGATGAGCATTTATTAAATTAGTGAGCGTCTTTTATTTTACCGATCATTTATTATTTCAACAAGCATTAATTTTGAAAAATTATTTGGAAACTAACTATAATAAAAAAAAATAAACATTCATCTATTCATCACGTAATTTATGCCATATTATAATAATGTCTCCTTTTAACTTCAATATTTTAATGGAAAATATACTTTTTTTAGTTATTATTCCTGTTCATTGTCTCTATTTTTAAAATCTTTTGCTCTGTAATTAATATTAAAAACATAAATTTTGCCACCAGCATACTTGTGACGTCACGAGAGGCTGTGTGTGATTGGTTAAATGTTACGAGGCAACCGTATTATTCTACAAAAGGTGGCCATGAGCCATGACCCACGATGACCCAATTCCCACTTCCCACTTGTCATTTGTGACGATGGTTGGTTAGGTAGTAAGCCGTGGGTAGTAAAAAAGGTGTAAAAGGAAAATGTTTGTGCTTCAATTAACTAATTTTATGGTAAGATTTAATGAGTTATGCTTTTGTATTATTATTTTGATCTTCGGTTTTTGACTATATGGGGTAGTTGGCTTTGGTTTTTTATTCATACTTCCATATGGAACGGATAAATGCAAGATGGCGAATTTAATTATTTAATAAATTCGCGTTTTTTTTAATAAAATAAGGATATCGGAGCCTGTTTGGTTAAATTTTATAAGTAAAATAAAATTACTAAACCTTTTTTATATTTCATAGTGTTTAAAACGTTATACTTTCTAAAAATTGTGTATCAATGTGCCATGAATATTTTAATTCAACTAATTATTATATCAAAGTAGATCAAAAATTTTATTGTCTAAATTCATCAAAAAAAATCTAAATTGGCCAAAAATAGACCAAAAACAGAATAAAAATTGACAAGACTAGACAAAAAATAGATCAAAAATTGTCTAAATAATTCATCAAAAATTTATCTAAAATTGACCAAAAAATAAAAAAAAATATGGAAATATTTGATAAAAATTTATAACGTTTCAACCAGAATTCACGTAGACCAATAAAATTACAATTACAAATCCATACCGAAGATGACTAAAAATTTTTAAATTCATTTAATATCCCCCCCTACCCCTCCTTTACCTCTTGCTACATCCTCCCTACCCTTTCCATAAATCTTTCTATCCTCTTCTTACCCTTTCCATACATCTTTCTATCCTCTCTCTACCATTCCATACAACTTCCTACCCTCTCACTACCCTCCTCTGTACCCATGGCTACACCCTTCTACCCCCTCCCTAGTCTTCCCTACGGCCGCTACAACTTCCTACCGCCCTTACCTTCTCTACCCATCCCTATACCATTGTACTCCCACCCTACAACTTTTTACCCACTCCCTACCTACTCTCCTTTACCCCTCGCTACAATTTCCTACCCATCCCTTGACTCCGCTCTACCTATCCCTTCACCCTTCTACTCCCTCCTTACCCTCCTTTACCTCTCCCTATCTCTACCTACCAACTTTTACTCTTATCCAAATTAAGTATAACATTTCTTTTTTTCTCTTCCTCAAATGTCATTAAATTTAGCTCTATTGCTTAAGCGGCGGTTTCACATACAAGTAGACTGTCGTCAAAGCCAGGGTATGGGAACTCGTGGCTACTGGCTCCACCTGTTTCGAGCGTTCATGAAACACCACTGCGCATGTTTTGCTATAGATGGCAGTGTATGAAAATGGCCTGGTAAAGTCCCCGTCAAGTTAGTATGTTATCTATGTAAAGTCCATAGGTCCTATTGGCCCGTTCCGCCCTTTAAGGCCGGATTCGCGTTTTTATCTGTATAAAACACCCGTATGAAACAGACTTAACGACTTCCTTCTTATTTTCCGTCGTTTTTGAGTTTTTGGTTATTTTATGCCATTTATGGTTTAACTTCGGACATTTGTGTCTTTATTGTATTTTTACGTGCGTGTTGTGAGTTGAATAATGCTATCGAAATTCGTTACAGTTACTTATTATTGTTATACTTATTATATATTATTATTATTGTTTATTAATAGGTACCGTTCTAATAGGTAGTAATGAATTATTTAAAAGGGCCCATGACGAGTATCAAAGAAGAATACCTAAATTAAAAAAAATATACCTTGTGAATTAGTAGAATATACCTATTTAGCTATAGAAGGTTGTTATTTCTTTTATTTTTTCTACTTCAAATCTACAATTTCATAATAAATTTAGAGGAATTCTTTTTAACTGACCTACTCATTTTAGACTAACTTCATTTATAAAGTAAAATGTTTATTTCAGTTAAAAAGATTTCCCTCTAAATTTATTATGAAATTCTTATTTAAAATATAATAATTGTGTACACAAGAATTTTAAATTTTGGCGCCAATTGCAGACCACTGTAAGTATAATTAGTATTCTGCATTTAATGTATAGACGCGCGTCACAGGTGTCGTTAGTAAAAAAAATTGAGTTTCCCATCTATAGTGTAGGTTATCTGTGGTCACAGCGACTGTTTGGGAGGCGTGGCCTCACTACTAGTTATTTTTTCATGTGAAACACTTAAATGCGATGACAGCTGACAGCGATAAGATTAACTGCTATAACTAGAAATTTTTCTAGTTTTCGTATCGCAGTCGTTATACGTCACGAAATAAAATGGCGAAATCTGTGAAACGCATAGCTTTCTCGGATGACAAAATTTATCAATTGATTTATATCGTGAAAATGAGTGTCTGTGGCAAGTCGAATCGTCGCATTACAAGAATTACGATAAAAGAAAAACTGCACGATATTGCCGAAAAAATGGGCATTAATTAATTAAACTAAATTCTCGACTAAAATATAATAGATGTTCAATAATTTAATGGGTGGTCGGCGTAAAATTAATATGCTGTGGAAAACGATAAGGGAAGAAAGATATAAGGAGGGGTAGAGGGGTAGGAGAGTATAGGGATAGGTAGTGAGGGGTACAGGAGGGAGTAGAAGGGTAGGAAGAGGGTAGGAAGGGGTAGAGAGGGGAAAATTAGTAATATTTTATATTCTTAACATTATAAATGTTGAATTCTTTCCAAATTTCCTTCTATATTAAAATATTTTATATATTTTTTTCATTTCACTTGCAGGTTTTTCACCCGAGTTATTTGGCCTTCATCTGAAGAGATATTCGGAAGAGTGGCGTAGAAACAAACGAGAGTCGGATATTCTTCACCAAGCAACTTATGCGGATAAGTGCAAATTGGGTTGGCGATGTGGTCAATTCAACGGGTTGAACAAAGAAAGAATTATAAAATGAACAGTGGTTAGAGTGACAGAGTTGAAATCTCACAATATTACTTTGTTTTTTTTTCTCTTAAATGAAACTGTCCAGGATTTAGGACGCTTCTGAACGAATTAGAACTGTCTAGAATAGTTTAATTAGCTTCAGGACCAATCAGAATGGTCGAAAATAATTTATAACTGTCTAGAATGATTAAGAATTGTCCAGAATGATTTATAACTCTCCAGATTTCTTGAGAACTGTCCAAAATCATTTAAAACTGTCCAGGGTGATTTAGAACGGTTGTAAACAATTCTGAACGATTAAAGAATAAATTAAAACGGTCTAGAATAATTTGGATTGCTTCACGATAAATCAGAATTAGAGCATATTGAAACAAATTAAGGCTGTTCAGAATGATTTAGAACGATTCTGAACGATTTAGATCAATTTAGAACTGTCGAAAACTGTCTAGGATCATTTAGATTGCTTTACGATCAATCAGAATTGTTGACACCAATTTAGAACTGTCCAGGATGATTTAGAACACTTTTGGACAAATTGGAACTGTTTACAAAAATTTCGAACTGTATGGAATCATTTAGAGCGCTTTTGAACGAATTAGAACTGTTTAGAATTATTTATAACACTTTAGAACGAACTAGAACTGCCTAGAACCATTAAGAACTGTCTAAAATGAATTACAAGACCTTGAACGAATTATATCACTCTGTAGTTTCTACTAATTATTTAACTTGTTAAGCGGGAGATACATTGTAAATCTTTCTTTTTCCTTTATATGAGACTTATGGAAGTTGTCTTTGTTGCACCCATAG